TTGAGCTGTCTTCGTTATCTGCCCCACCCTCACTGAATATAACTCATATTGCCCTTTTATTTACTATTTGCTTTGTGTAAACAGGATTGTAATATATAAAGGGCTGTTAATTATTGCATTTCCGCATGCAAATTACAAACAATTTGGTCAGCTCGGCCTACGACTACGAGCAGCAGTTAGGGTGTGGGCCTCTTTTATCAATATATCTCAAAAGAATGAGTAAATGATCCCAACCGCCCCAATAAATTTTAATCTGCTTCCTACGTCTACAGTATCGCCTGCAATTTGACTTATTCAACTCCTACCTTGGTGCCGATATTGGCTCTTCATTATACTACCCATCCAGGAGGAGTATTATTAACTCTTACCCCTTTGCCTCTCCTTTTTCCTTACCGTTTAATCCTCTAATTATGATTGGCAATTTGCGGCTTGATTGTTCATACTTCATATGCGTTTCACACCATTCTCTTGTTTCTGTAAGTTGACCATAAACAATTGAGGAAAAAAATATAAAATACACTGGTATAGGAAAGTTCTTTTTCAGTAAAAGAATATTAAAAAATATATAATTATAAGGAGTTTTTCAAGAGAAAATTATAAATTATAAATATATCAAACAAAAAATAGATCTTTTCATGGTTTTTTATTTTACTGTTAAAAACAAAGGAAACCCGATGATATCAATTATGAATTTTATCATAACAAATATAAAAGTCACCTTGATTTCTTTGGTATTTACTACTAAGGCTCTCTTGCTTCTATATATATAATGGAGACCATCCTTTACTACAAACCATTCTAGAGCAGCTCTCCCCAGCACTACATCTACCTTTTCCTGGACTTGTTTCCACTAACATGGTGATGCAAGAACAAGGTCTCTCAGTGGCCTGAACGCAAAAGTCATCGGCTCCGGCACTGAACCCATGATTCTTGCACATGGGTTTGGGGGAGACCAATCTATCTGGGACAAAATCACTCCCTTTTTGGCTCAGCATTACAAGATTATAGTTTTCGACTGGCCCTTCTCAGGATCTGTCAAAGATCCAAACCTTTACAGCCTGTCAGTACTCTTCGTATGACGCTTTTGCCACGATTTGATTACTCTTTTGGACGGAAATTGTATAAAATCATCAGTTTTTTATCGGCCACTCCATGTCTGGTATGATTGATGCATGCTTCTACGAAAAGGCCAGACCTATTAAGAAGCTCATACTCATTGGAGCTTCTCCCAGGTATATCTTCAACCTAGATAAAGCAGAAAAGTTCACCTCAGTTCTTACTTTTACATGCACTTAACTTTTGTTTTTTTTTTTTTTTTGGTTTGTTTTGGCTTTGGCTTTGGCTTTCTTCTTCTTCTTCTTTTTTTAATGGTGATTATCCTTGTTTAAAGCATCAGCAGTTAGCGTACCCAATTAATCAACTAACCGCACTTTGTATGCTAAGTTTTTATACTAAGTTTGCTGAGACTTTATTGGAAAGAATTTTTTTCTTATTTTCTTTAAAAATAAATCCCTGATACGTTTTTTACTAACTTCCTCAATTTTAATTTTTACACTCCGATTCTTTTTAATGTTTTTTTCTTACTTGGTTCCATTTTTCATAGAATATTTCTGGTGATAAGCCAAGCTGGAGCATTTGATGCTAAAATAGATATATTGGAGTGATGTAGTAGGTAACTTGAACTAAAACAGCTTTGATATAAAGCATGTGTGTTCTCTAGTTATTTCGATCTCAAACGTGTGGTGGTGATGGGAGACTCAGTTTAAGATATATATTATTGGCGGGTTCTTGAATCCTAATCTCGGTCACTTCAATTGTGTGGCTCGAATCTTCTCAAAACTATATATTTTTCTGTGTCCTCAATAATTTCAGCTGCTTCAGCACAAACGCAAACAACCTTTAGATGGGATCGATAGTAGCTTAAGCTAGACTTTTGTCTCTTTAGCTTAAACTACTTGCGATTAATAAATAATACTTGTTCACTAAAATTCCATAAATACTGAAGCTCATGAAGCCGGCCGAAAGACATTAATAATGGGTCAATTTTATGTCTTTCTGTTGTCTCTAAGGGCTTAGATAGTTAGGTTAATAGTTATAATTTGTGCCAACAAGAAAAGTTATAAATTAATTTCATTCTCATATTATATTAGGTACATAAACAGGATGATACGAAGGAGGGTTTAGCAGCTCAGGGATTGAGAAAATCATTTCAAACGTGGAACCGACTATTTCAACTGGGTTTCAAACTTTGCTTCTCTTGTTGTGGACTCAAAAGATCCCCTCTCGGTTGAGAAGCTTCAGAAATGTTTGAGTTCAATGAGACCTGAAGTGCCTTACCCTTGGCCAAAACCGTGTTTTACAGTGACGAAAGGAAATTCTGGATAAGTTATGACTCCATGCACAATCATCCAACTACTAGTGACATTGTTGTTCCAAACTCGGTTGCTCACTACATGCAAGAGAAGATAGGGAAATCAACGGTGGAGATGATAGAGACTAATGGACATTTCCCACAGCTCACTGCTCACCAGCATCTGTTCAAGTCCTTGGAGAGTGTTAGGGTTTTGATTTTGATCGATCTTAAGAATATAATATGATATATACACATATCATCTCGTTTTTCTTGTCTGCTATTTAAGAGAAATAAGTCGCTAAATATTTGCCTTTAGTTTGTTGTGTTCTTAACTTGATAGGAACTTATTATGAAGGATGGGATGTAGAATGTGTTTTGTGTAGTAAATTTTAGTTGAATTAAATATTAGTAGCCTGGTTGGAAGTCGTTTATCATCTCTCTTGAGTTGATACTTGGAATTAATTCAGGTAGTGTCATTGATATATAGCTGGATGGTATATACGTGCAATTACTCGATCGCGGCCAGCTCAAACTAAGAATCACTACCCATGATGGAAATAACATATTCCCAAAATTTTCATTTAGACACTTGCCATTGAAGGAGATGCTGCATATCTCAAAGTTGAGATCCATGAATTAGAGACATAGCAAACAATTTATACAAAACCTTTTTTAGGTTAATTTCATATAAAATATATATATCTGCTAGATCCGGGTCAGGCTTTGGAATTCAAACCGTATACGTTTCTTTCTTCGTAGAAAAATAAAATAAATAAAATCAATTATATATAATCACATCCAATAATCCAAAGGATAGCATATCAACTTTTAAGCCGTCCTGTAGAAGTAGAACCCATTAATTGCGTTATATTCCAGTCCAGTTCAGTCTATAGTTTGATTAATGAATACATGCTTTCCAGGCGATTTTTTCTTAAACAGCATGCTGAAATTAGAGAACCAATGTGAGTTTACTTGTGGATAGAGTAATAACTACTCTTTCTAGAATAAATCCAAAAAAATCACATCCGAAATGAGTGTGTATCCTCTGCGGTATTAACACATCATTATCGTTGCATCACTATATACGATTACGTTTCACTTAAGATAGTTTTTTGGGATATCATTGGAGTAGATTACTTAATTATATATATATATATATCTATATATATAGTATATATATATATATATATAATAATTTTACATATATATATCAATGCTGGGTCAGTCATTGTGTGCACCTCAATTAATCTCACACTCTAAAACTGTCGACTGAGTAAAAGTCCTAATGACCATCCTATTAATGCGTAGGGGGATTCGAACTCAGAAGCTCTAGAACCTCTTTTTGTTCTTTCATCATCAAACTATCTAGGTGTATTAACCTTGTGGATATTTAACACTATCAAATGGTTACTCATCCACTAAGATTATTTCTACTATAATTTAAGTTAAAATCTGTAATGCTGTAGATATTAAATCTATGGTCACGAAAAGAAGGTCTATCATTGAGGTTGAGGCCACTTACAATCATTGTACCTCACACAAAGTAAACAAGCGTAAAATTTACGTAAACACCGGTGTGTGTTTGTCGTCGCACTCTGACTCAGTCAGTAAGGTTGAATAAGAAATTTAGTGAGGGTTAAAGGAATGAAGGGTTACCAGTAGTTTAGTCAGAGATTAGAACCACGGTATAGGTGTATAACTCTTAGAAGTCAAAGTTTGTGTGCAAGTAGGTGGTATTGAGATTGAATGCCTAAACAGATAGTGACTCTTGTTTATATAGTGTTGTAGGATCTTCGTATCCTAGACTTTGAATCCATAATGTAGAAGTTTAGTGAATAGAAAAGATCCTCATTTACTTGCCACGTAGGACTAAGAGTCCTAATTCACATAAGATCCAGAATCTTGGGTGAATAGGATATAACCTAAATAGGAAGGTCATAATTATCTTGGACCTTGGTGAGCTAATGGTGATGCCCAATCTAAAGAGAGACAGGTTTGGGCCGTGTGTTTTAGCCCGTATGAATTCTAATGTTGGTCCAACCAGAATCGGAGCGAGACTTGGGCTTACGTAGTATAATAGGCTCAAGACGATTTTTGCCCATATATACCTTATATCATGTCAACTGCCAATAAATTATAGCATATTATGTATTAATGAATTTTTGTAGTCGTCATTTTTTTATTTTTAACCATATATATAATTTGCGTTTATTAACTGTGTTTTATACGACACGCAACATTGTTTCTTTATAGGTTGATGGTTCCGATAGTACTAGTACACCATGGTCACATATCTCACTATATTTGACAATTTCATAGATGGAATTTGGTAAGGAAAACTTCTAAATCTTAACAATAAAATATATGGTTTTTTTTTTATATATTTTATAATTAAGATCTGAAGTTTATCCGAAACCATATATCATTTCCAATTATGGAAACAACCAAAAGGATAAAGACTACGAAACGAAATTCAAAACTTTATTGAGAGTCTTCTTATAATAGACCCAACCATGAAACGAAAGTGAGACTGCGAGTGTCAACTAGATAAAAGCCCAATGGGCCTCTTCACAGTGGTAAAGTCCTCAGGGGATACATGATTAAATTTAAACCTCCTAATTGCGTATAACTGTAATTAAAACTGAACGTGAAGGACAAATGAGTAAAGAAAAAAACCCAAAAGCTCGCCCTCTCGGTGAGTTACCTTAACAGTCTGTTTCTCACATTTCTACCTTCCATATAAAGCATGAGAAGTTTACTCACTGCTTCTCAAATTCTAACAAAATCATCATCCACACTCTTTCTTAATCCGACTACAGCAACAATCTCTCACTCTCAACAACACCAATTTACTTGTTCTTTTTTCAAATTTTCTCCTTTCTCTAACTTTAACTACCGAACATACGCGATCATGGCTGCCTCTGCGACCGAAGAGTTTGTCAAAGGAAATGTACATCCAAACGGCGTCGCTGTCATCACTCTCGATCGTCCCAAAGCTCTCAACGCCATGAATCTAGGTTATTTCCTTTTCTTCATTTTTACTCTCTAAATTTCGTTTCAGTGATTGAATTCTTGAATTGTGTCACTTAGTGCGTTATCTTGTTATTTATTTCTTTAGTTAATTATAATCAATGCCTCAAAACTTTTTTTATCGTTTAATTAATTTGAAAAAAAAAAAAAAAAGATTCCGTAGTTGGTAAAGTCGGATATATTAGACAAGAGTAGTTAGAAATGTGATTATATATTTACTTATGACGAATAGATATGGTTTGTACACATAAACATATTAATTTTAACTGATATGTATTGAATCTGTATGATTAAATAATTTGAGTTGCAATATAAAACGTCAAACTTATTTGCGTTTTAATTTTACAAGTTATGGATAAATAATGTTTCCTGCCCTAATGTTTTGATTGGTGTTTTTTCTGAGTTACACTTTTTGTTAGTGCTGGATAATCTGGCAGATTGGAGAACGAAAATGAAAGTTCAGCAGACAGAAAATGATATTTTGTTTTCACTGATTTTTTACTCTAAATTCATTTGTTACCTGAAGAGATATTTACTTTTTTGTATTTATTTGGTTATTTTGGTAGTTCTTCTGTGAAATGAGAAGTGTGAATGATGTTGACCTGTTAAATGAATGATATGAATGGCTAAGATTGTTTGCATTCCTTCTTGAGGAGCTGGAAAATTATTTGCTTTAAGTGTTTTGGATGAACTTTCAGCTTGTTCAATTTATGGTCAGGTTTGCGTTTAATTCTTTTGGAACTGATAAGTCAGTGTTAAGTGCTCAAACTGACTTATTGCCAGCCCTGCATATTCTTTCTAGTATGGATTCTCAATGCTGTCTGTTTCTTATTTTCCTTTGTCAGTAAAACCAAGTTTTAATGACAATTTTCTGATGTTTAAACCAAATGAGTCAGAGAAAATTAAAGTCTCTTTTGCAAGATCAAGCAAAACATTCCTTCAGTTTTTAATATTTTGGACTCTGTGCAAAATTATAAAATCAATTATTTTTTATGAGATTGAACTGCTAATTTGTTACTGTGGGCATTTACTCATGGTGGATAGCTTTTTTTGATATTTATGCTGATATCAGTTGAATTTTTTGATGCTTCTCTTCAGCTCTGGTTCTGTTTATACTAAATTGTAGGCCCTTGATGGTACAGATATGGACATAAAATACAAGAATTTTCTTGATGAATGGGAATCAGACCCAAGGGTCAAATGTGTGCTAGTGGAAGGCAGCTCACCTCGTGCCTTTTGTGCAGGTAATTAAGGAACAAAAGAGTTTCTTTGTTGGTATTCAATAACATTTTTCTGTTGTTTATCTCTGTTATTCTGTTGAAGAAGTTTTTCTAAGTTTTCATTCAGGTTAATTATATTTTACAAACTTATCGATGCGAGTTCCCATGCATATGTATAAACATTTCTGGGTTATCTTCTATTTAGTTCTAGGGCAGGTTTTGAAGGTGATCATTCATTCCAAATGCAGGGATGGATATCAAGGGGGTTGCTGCTGAAATTCAACGAGACAAAAACACACCTCTTGTGCAAAAGGTTTCCTTATAATGCATATCTTGTGCTGGGGACATTCGTCGCTTGCTTACTCAATCAATTGATGATCGCTTAGAAAGCACCATTCAAACCATTTGGTTTTTCTTTTTCATTTTTCTAACTTTGTTGTGTAGGCTATTGTGTTGTTTATTTTAACTTGACTTGCTCAATGCTTGTCTGATTGATAACCTAGATCTTAGTTTACATGCAGGTGGTGATGTCAAGCAGATCACAACCAAAAATCAACTGTCAGATATGATTGAGGTCTCCTTGTGTCCTTCTAATTATAGATTATAAAATTCATCACAATATGTAACACACAATGTTAAATCAAGTGGAAGATAAAGTACCTTGTCTATCATAGTTGCTTCAATGCCAATAAATCAGTGATCAACCTTCACGGAACCATTTTTGCTTAGTCATTGTCAGCCCTTATAGGGCCATTCCTCTGTATTTATCTAAAATAATCCAGGAAAATGTCCCTAAAAGAACTTTTTTTGAAGAAAATCAAAATCATTTTTTTCAAATTCTAATCCAGAAAAATGTTTGTAGTTGTCATTTATGATATGATATAAGACTTTTGTCACATAATTTTACTTCCCGAACATGGTTTCAGTCACTCAAACAAGTATTGGTTTTTCCTTTCTACTATTTGGAGGAGGATCGCAATTTAATTATACGTTTCTTGGTGTTTAATAAATTTTATTGTGATTAAAGTGTTTCTTCTTAATAATTGTGGCAGAAAATAAGTGAGATGATGTTGAATATGAGAGAAGTAGCTAAAATATGACTTTTGATATGCCTGCATTTAAGCATAAATGCTCATCCAATCATCGTGCCACAGACGCTCATGTTATTTTATCTGTGTCATTCACATTATTGAAAATCAAGCTGATAAGATCTTCAGTTCTAATGTATTTACATTAATACATACGCATTGTTCTATTGCGAGCTTGATATTGACCTCATTTATGCAGTTCATGTGCTACCAGTTATGGTGGTTTATTTTATGATGCATGCATTTTGTTCTTATTACTTGGATTCAACCTCATTATTTTCTGAGTTTCAATTTATATTCTATGTGGTTGTCCATTAGTTGTCTTTCTATATTTGTGGTTATATTCTATTCTGTCTAGTGAAATAAATATTACGTATTATGCTGCATTTTCTGCCAGGTATTTACTGCAGAGTATTCTCTGATATGCAAAATTTCTGAGTATAAGAAACCATATTTGAGCTTAATGGATGGCATAACAATGGGTTTTGGAATTGGTCTGTCTGGTCATGGTCGATACAGAATCGTAACAGAGGTATAATATTGTTGACTTATTATACAGATATCATTTGGTCTGATATTTTAAATTGTAATGGAAATGTAAATGTAAATTTCTGATCTCAAATTTTTATTTTTGTTAATCCCTTTCAGAGGACTGTCCTAGCCATGCCAGAAAATGGAATAGGCTTATTCCCAGATGTTGGATTTTCATATATTGCAGCAAAAAGTCCGGGAGGAGGATCTGTTGGTATGGTTTTTGTTATCTGAATTGAGATAAACAGAATTGGCTTGTTGCCAAATGTTGAATTTGCACTAATAGGTTCTTAATCACTTAGATTGGAATTAGGATTGTGGGCTAGCTATTACCGAGTCTCTCTCTTTTAGATATCATTTCTGTGATTGCAAAAGGCTTACTTCTAACTACTAGAACTTTTTCCATAAATTATTTGAGTTTGAATTCTCTGTCTTTTTTTTTTCTTTTTGGACCGAAAGGGATTCTTTTCTTTTGTCTATTTTAGTTTTTCCTTGATCCATGTAATTTTTTACTCATTCAAAATAATTTCGCCATATCCATCTCAGCCTTGGGTAATGTATTCCAAAATTTCTTTTGATGTTGAACATTTAAATAATTTGAAGTTCTCTCTTGGTTAACTTAAAGATTTATTTTCTTTCTTTTACAAATGGGCTTCTATAGATGGAATGGCTTCCATGAAACAGTAGTTGTTGTAGTTTTTGGCAGACCCTCTCTTTTGCAAAATTTGATTATCAGAAATTTCTTTCAACCAGTAAACCTTGGATCTCTAATTGTTTCTTTCCTTTTTCTTGAAGCAATTTGTACGTTTCTTTTGGTTGAGGAATCGGATACTTTCATATTCGATAATCCAATATTCCCTACATCATTTCTTGTCTGGGATTTGGTTGTGTAGTTAAAATGTGATTTCGTCTGATTCTGGATTTCAGCATACTTGTTGATGGTGATAAAATTTCTTCTATTTCAACCACTATATTAGTTTAATGTTTTAAGTCTCAAAGTGAAGTTGTTTGTGGGTGTTTTTTTATTTATTTATTTATTTTTTTGTTAAGATTTGGGCTCTTGTGAAGTGCCTGCTTATTTCTTCCCCATAACTTTTGCCTTTTAGACACAGGTTGTTTTATATGTTAATATACAAATAGTTTTCTTTTGAAGTAGTTGATGGCATTCTTCTTTCTTTATTTTGTCATTACTTTGTTTTTGGCGTTTAACAAACTCTTAAAGTATTACAGGTGCTTATCTTGGACTGACTGGAAAAAGGATTTCCACGCCTTCTGATGCATTGTTCATAGGACTTGGAACGCATTATGTCCCATCTGGGAATTTAGGTCCACTGAAGGAGGCCCTTTTGGCAGTTACCTTGTACATCTCTCATTATCTTTCTATCTTTGAGTGGCTGCTTTTGTCTTATTGGAAATGAGTTTGCGGCATTTAACGATTGTCTGTTTTGATCTGATTGAGTTTTATTATGGCCTTCTATAGATTACTTTGCTTGTGATTAAAATAAAATCTAGTTACTTAACAACATGTTGTAAAATCTTCGCCCATTCCTTCAAATTAGCATTATTAGATAATGAGAAACCCACCATTTTGGAATTTTATTTTTTTTATTTTTGTTGCTTGAGATCTTAATGGTGGCGCTTAGAACTCTGTTAATTTATAAATCTGGATCCTTTTCTCAAATTTGAGGTTTGTAATGCATATACTTGCAGTCTACAGATGGAATTTCTTCATGGTTTTAACCAAAAAATCTGCTGCTTGATGTGTACTGGAGGAACTCTGTAGTGATCCTTATTTATAGATGTTCTCTGCCTTCCAATTAAAAATTCATCTAAAATTTTGGTGATGCAGTTCCGAGGATCCAGATCAGGATATCAAAGCACTTCTGGCAAAATACAACAGTGATCCTGAGAGTGAGGCTCAATTGAAGTTGCTTTTACCGCAAATAATTTCATCCTTTGGATCAGCAAAGTCAGTTAAGGAGATAATTGAAGAGCTAAAAAAATATCAGTCAAGTAGTGAGGCTTCAGGTAAACTAATTCAACCCATTTGGTCTGCAAAAAGTAAAATGAAATAATAAAGTATTGGTGTTCGACTTTCCTCTAGGAACTCTTATGTTTTCTGTGATGTTGAGTTTGAGTTGATCTTCATCAGAGTCTTGATTCATTTTTGTCTATTTCCAGTGGTACACTGGGCTAATGAGGCTCTTCAGGGTCTTGGAAAAGGTGCTCCATTTTCTCTTTCTTTAACACACAAGTATTTCTCCAAAGTTGCATCAGCATATGGAAAAGCTGACAATGAATTATCGAAGGTAAAGATTTGGGGTTGTATTATTAAACTTTTTTATTTATGGTGCACACTGAAAAGTAACATGCTTTTTCGTCTGTACATGGTTGCATTCAGCTAAGTGGTGTGATGAAAACTGAATATCGAATTGCTTTAAGATCTTCTCTACGAGGTGATTTTGCTGAAGGTGTCCGAGCAGTCTTAGTGGACAAGGATCAGGTTTTCTCACTATTATCATTTGAATAGAAGTTTATAAAATATGTGTTACTTCTGCATTTTTTGTCTGATTGTTTCATTAATAAATTTAAAGCGACTCTAGTTATTGCTAAAAATGTATCCATGATTGCCCTTTCATTATATGATGTATAGATTGCATATCTTTCTCAGTACTGTTCATGATATGTTTTGCAGAATCCGAAGTGGAAACCATCGAGCTTGGAGGAAGTTGACCAAAGTGAAGTGGAAGCTGTATTTGGACCACTGGGCCCAGAAGTTGAGGAATTGAAAGTTTGACTCTCTGAGATGGAATCGACCTACTTTTCTTTACTTCGGGAAATAAGCGGAGGATGGATACTGTTCCAATATAATTTACATCAGAAAATGAACGAGCTGAGTATTATGAATATTCTAGATGATAATTGATTACTCTGAATTTGGAATCATATGTTTCTCAGAGACACTACTATAGTTATGTTACTAAATAAAAGCCAAAATATGGTGGCGAATTGTACAATGGGAAACTTTGCTATCTTCAGTCAATCATATCAAGTATATGTCTAGTCACCTCTTTGAGTGGCCTAAAATTTAAAAAGAGATTTCCAGCTGTCTTTCTTCCTTTTTCAGAGCTGAAAAGTGAAAAGCGACCTGTCTTCCTTTTTTTTTCATATATAGGAAAATAATAATTCACCGGGATAGTATATTGAATTTATGCATCGTGATAAAATTTTAATCGTTAATTAATTTTAATTTAATATTAATTAATAGTTAAGATTTTATTATATCATTCTATGTATTATTATTAATGATTATAGTATTATATATATAAAATAAGGTGATAAAAAATTAATAAAAAAATAAAATAAAAAATAAAATTTATTATATTTATTTTTTTATTCTTTTTTTGTTATTTTATTTTATAAATAAATTTTTATAAGATTTCTTTATAAGTGTAATATTATTTATATTTTATTTTATGTTAGCAAATTACCGGAATCCTTCTCTTCCCTTCCGTAATGAATCATCGTTAGTGGACCGTGACTTCTACTACCGCCTAGGCCGTCCCTCAACTTAAAGAAATTTTTTTTATATTAATACATAAAATAGAAATTTTGATGATTACTACACACCCCTAGTCAAAAATTTTTGAGCCACATGAAGTCATGAACATCAATAATTACAATGCATTCCTCTTACGTTAGTTTTAGCTGTTTGAAATGAACGATGCACTAGAGTTGACCGTCAAAAAGACCATTTTATCTCTGAAATGTATTAGATAAGAATTTGTAATTTTAATATTTCCTAATTTTGGAAAAAAAAAAAAAAAAAAAAAAAACTTTAGAGCATGAAAAGAATTTTTGAAAAATTTCATTATAAATAATGAAAAAATTTATAATTCTGAAGAAAATTTCTTTCAAAATTTAGAAATAATAAGAGAATCCAAAAAAAAAAAAAAAATTTAATTTAACTTGTTTTATTTAAATTAATTTTTTTTAACGCATTATCCGTATACAATGCATGAAAGGTTTTTATTTTAGGGGGCGTTTGGTTGGAGGTTATATGGGATTACTGGGGTAATGTCATCTTATATTACTTGATTACCATGTTTGGTTGTTAAGTAATATATAGTTGTTAAGTAATATAAGATACCGATAATCTTCAAATACCAATAGTGGTTACTATTGGTAATATCGGAGGTAATCTGATTACCTCAATTTTCTTAGGTATTCTGAAATTACCAGGGTTATCTTTTTTGTTACAATTTTATTCCTTATTAATAAAAATTTTGGACAACAATACCCCTATTTTAACACAAATTTACATGAATATCCTATTTCAATTTTACCCTTGTTTAATTAAAATTTTGGATAATAATGCCCTTATATTTAAAATAATTTACAAACCACCACTGCCACCCAGCCACCACCGCCGACAGTGGGCCAACCACCATGGGCCGCAACCGAAAAATCATTAGTCTCTAAAAAAGAACGAGATTCGGTGGGAGACTCCAGGAGGCTTCGATATGGCCGTTTCCGGCCATATTGATGGCCGAAAACGGCCATATCATGTCAGATCCATAGGCCAGATCCCTGGCCATTAGCGGCCAAATTTGGCCTGATATGGCCATTTTCGGCCATCAATATGGTTAGAAACGACCATATCGAAGCCTCTTGGTCACGGTCAGCTACTGATGGGGACTTTTGGAGACTTCTGGCGGTGGTCTGCGGTGGCGGCAGGTGGTGGAGGTGATTTTGTAATAAATTAAAATTTTATATAAGCGGGGGTGTTTTAACTAAATCTGAAATATTGGGGGTTAAAAAAAATTATTCAACAAGTAATAATAAAAATAATATTTGAAAATGGGACAATTTGATAATTTAAATAGCATATCCACCATTTTATTCCCCATAACCAAACATATTAATATAAAATACCTACCAACTAACCAAACACATTTTTCTAAGATTCCCAGTAATCCAACATTCCCAGTAATCTAACATTCCTGAACCAAACGCCCCTTTAAAGTTTAAGTCCATTTTATCTTAGTTTACTATTACCTAAAACTAATTTGTTTTTCATATTCATAATAAACTTTACGTGATAATGACTACAAAATATGGCGACATGTGAAGACATAAGTAGAATCAATGTTCTGAAAACCAGACTAGACCGTTCGATCGAATGGATGACCAACACCCTCTTTGGTTCGATTTACTATTTTCAATTGTTCACCAAATCCCTAATTTGACCGCCAACGAACGAGTGACTATCAAATGCCGGAGTTAGAGAGATTTTGTAGAATGGAGACAGACGGTTCAAATAGTAGTGTCGAATTGAATTTTAGACGTTGAAATTAGTTGAAAAAATCAATCCCATACACGAATCACAACCGACGACCGGGAGGCTTCCAAATGCTAAGGTTAAATAGGTTTTATAGAGTGGAGGCCGATGGTTCAGGTAGTGGTATTGGATTGAATTTTGACCACCGAAATCAACCTAAATGTGATCAGAAAAATCAAAACCTTAACTGTTATAGGAGTGTGTTTGCAAAATTTTAAACCTGTGAGGACTAATAATGTTTTTAAGGGTGCTTTTGCAAGATTTCAAACTTTTTGGATCACAAGAAAACCACCAACTTAACCAATTGGACCGATCAACCCTAGACCCAAGCCCCTTACCCATGTGGTACCCTAGGTCGAGTTTCAAAACATTGAGTACAATAAAAAATATCAACGTTTTAATATTTAGTCACAAGTTTTACTTGCCCCTTATTCCCTCCAACATATCTTTATGAACATTCCATAACATTATCTTTAAAATTTATGTTTAAATTATCTTTGGTTCTTTCATTTTATTTTACCTCCAATCAAACATTGATGAGACGAACCTCATTAGAATTGCTATAGGCCACGTGACACATTGTGATTGAGCACTACTAATTACTAAATACTAATAATAAAACTAAACTTACAACTTTTTCATACAATTTCTTTATACAACCTGAGGTAGTAGCTCGCAATTGGTCAGTTTACATTTGGATAGATAGGACCCATTGCGAGCTGACCAATCGTGAACTATCACATCAGGGCTGTATGAACAGGTTATATAAAAAAGTTGTAAGTGTAATACTACTCAATTATTAATACCTTATTTTTCCTTAACAGAAAATGCTCAAATTCTTTTTTCTTTTTCACAAATATAATTAGGAGCAATCTCCCCTTCTCAAACTTTGCAGCAGATCCAAGTACCTAAAGGATTCAGGACAAATGTACCTGCAATATCACGGAGAAATATTAGAATCGTTTGGGGATAGACTGTTACGCTGTGAGTACTATTCGCATAACAGGTGGAAGTTGAGCATTGTGACATAGCAAAAGTATTTTACTTGCCCTTTAAAGCAAATCGAACATTAATAAGCACAATATTCATCAAACCAGAAGAACTTAAAGAGATATCAAGCCTTGAATTCTACTTCGATATCACATTTCCTTTTACTGAAGGTTAAGAAATAATAGAAAGGGTAATACTAATAACAACCCAATTTTTTAAGGTTGTGGGGTTGACGCATCACAATATGAGCAGTTTGTGCCATCTAATTGTGCAATCTAATTTAAGCTTTACCTAGGTTCTGAATCAATAACACAAGCGACTGTTCTTAGCCCTCTTGATCTATATCTTAATATATCAAGTTCTAACCAGCTAAGACAGGAAGATGAAGACCAAAGCTCTCTCTCTCTTTTGAACTGATTACCCTAAACTGCAAAAAGCAAATGAAGGAAAAAGTCAAAGAGAAAGACTCATACCCATGTCGAAACAAGAAATCGGTGATGACAAGTGAGCAGTTTGGCTTGAAGAATTCTGTTCTACGTATGACATTTGCAACATGTGTGATAGGGATCAACTTGAAGCTCTCCACTTCTCCATCTGCAACATGTAACACCCCATTAAAATGAAATGCAAAACAAATATCTCACACCATGATGCCTTGTATTGAAGAAAATTGTACTTCTTTGTTGTCACCTTGATTCTCAGGTATGAAATCCTCAGGTAGTTTCAAATCATAACAAACTAGAACATCTCTTTTATATCGGTACCCATCAATGTCCATATAGGAAACAGCACCCACTGGTATAGCTCTGTGAAAGAAGACAGTAAGGTTTTATCAGAATCTTGGAAGTAGGTCTTTAAAGCAAGGTTTAATTTCCTATCCAATACAAGCACGCTAAATATGTTGACATTAGAACTACAATTCAATGATTGGAAGAAAGCTTACCCATTGGATATTGACCTAGGTATTCCTGCTTCCTCTTCACATTCCTTCATAAGATTCTCCCCACAAGCAATACCATGTGGCTGCAATTACCATCACAATATAAAAAATAAAGAATTTGGTCAGAGATATAATGAGCAAAAAGATTAGAGTACAGGCTTGCAAATGAACAGAAATTATGATCTTCGTCTTATCAACCACACTTCCTTCAGTTTCAGCAGATGAAGTACTGATACCTCCAAGAATTGCAACATGCAAGAACAACAAAGATTTTCCACTGGTATCAGGTTTTACGATAAGCTATTTCTGGTCTGAGCTCAAGTTCATGTGGTTTTGTTGAAGACCTCAGTGATTAATTTAATGTTAAAAAATGTCAATCTAAGTTTCTCTGGCTTCAAAAAGACTAACCAAATTTAAGCATATACTTGCATAACATACAATATAAGTTAAACATGAATGTCATTCAGGTTTGCATATTTTATAGCTAACATAATGCATAGCACTTTTTATATTTTTTATTGCCTTTGCTCCTGTCCTACAAGAGAAGGATACATGAAGGTAAAGGCAAATCAAGATCAAACAGTGATCAGCAATTCAGCATGATGTGATAACCTCTTCCTAGCTTTCCAGATAGAACCAATTCATTGTAAAACCTTAGCAGAAGCTCAGAAAGTCAATCCTGTCAGGAAAATCAATTACATTATTTTAGAATCTTCTGCTGCATTGCAATTGAATGATTTACTGGAAGCACATCGTTCAAATTTGAGATGAAGGCCTTGGTCATATTCATGTGGCTTTCAAAAGTTGGAGCATCCCTAAATGAACCTTGCTCAGGTACCATGCTTTCCCCTTTTTCATTTTTATTTTTTATAAAAAAGGACTGTGGAAATGAATTTATTATAAGATAACATTAAACTCCATACAAGTCTTAAGAAAGATCCAAAGACAACCGAATGAAAGCAAGTAAAAGGGTGTTATTACAAACCAATCCTCCAGCAACTAGATGATCAAGCATTCCTGGATAAGTAGGTTTCACTTGACTTCTTTTTCCAATCCATAGAAATTTCTGCCCATCTATTTCGACATAGCCGTTCATATGAACTCCATAAGCCTGTTTCCAGAGGAGGCATTTTGCAGAGACAAGGAATTTATCAAAGCCAGTACATGAAGGAGGAAATCATAAATGAAAAAAATTGGTTTTCAAAGACAGTGCAACAAAAGCATCAAGAAATTTATCAACGACTACACTCTTCAAATGATACCACACTAATGACAGAAAATAACACCATCTACTACAACTGAGTCGCTATCATCACATAAACTTCAATAATATGCTGAATAGTATATAGATGATCATGATCTAATAAAATCTGATTCGGTTATCTTAACATTATCATGCTACATGCACAATGTATATTAAGAAACAATTAAGTTTTTTTTCCAAACGCTAAAAGTTCTAAAGTGCTACGCATAGACCGACCTTTATTCCAAAATATGGAGCAGCTGCACGTTCAAGGGAGAAAAAAATTGGTGCCCCGAAGGATGATGTTACAGGGTACAGCTAAATAAAGGCAATCGAATTCAAAATTAGCCGACACATAGAACCAAAATCTTATCAAAAACGAATTTAATTTCAGTTACCCATAACATATTATTCAAAGTAATCATCAAAAGCAGTAGTACCTCATTTCTTATACCTGGAATCACTTCTTCCCCCAAGCATTTAATTACTTCTCCAACAGCTTTCGTCCTGTCCTCCGCTGTTTTTAGCTTTGAATTTAACGTCACGTGACATCCTTTGTCCTCAGAATAAACGAATACTTCACCATATCTCCTTAACTGCCAAGCGAAACTGCCAAATTTCAAAACAAATAAATAAACAACAATTAACCTAATTGTTAATCAGATGTACAGTATTTTTCATACCGATTATGTAAATAACCCACAACTTGGCCCTGGATGATAAAAGGAACAAACTCGGATTGCAATTCCTGCATAATATTTCAATTAAAAACAATAAATAAATAATAAGTCTGGGAAATTAATAATTATTAATGATTCGTTTAGTTTGATCGAGAATTACTGAACCGCGATTGCAGATTTTTATTTTTTCGAAGTAGCCGTTTAGATCGGATGAATCGTCGGGAGAATAGTCTGGTTGAGAGACTTTAACGACGTCGTTCCACGTGAAGCTACTGCTGCTAAAGCTAATGCCGGATGCAGAACGTGAAGAAGTAGCTAATTTCATTGAGCTACGAGAAGAAAAACGTGCCGGAAACGTGGTTAGAATATTCTTTGTAAAAACATGAGAACATTTGGAGTTGTAGAGAGATATGAATGAGTGTCGGATTGTTTGAGTATTGCAGGCCATTGAGAGAGTGAGAGAGCCACGAATTGTGCGAGAACTAACAGTGCAGCTAACAGTGATTGGGTATTTTGAACGTAATTGAGCTCCAACTACCACGTTTTTCTGCTTCGTGAAACCACTCCCATCGCGTAGTAAGGCCGTGTTTGGTTGAAAAAAGAAAACGAAATAGAACTTATTAGCAATAAATCAAATAGAATAATTTGATGTAATTATATTAAAAAACAGAGTAATACTACACTTACAAAAAATTTTTACAAAGATCTCCATACAAAGTGATGTGCCAAAAAATGATTGGAAGAGTGAATTTAATGAGTTTGACATTTTTTTTCATTCTTCCATTCATTTTTTGCCACCTCACTTTGTATGGAAATCTTTATAAGATTTCCTTGTAAGTATAGTATTATTGTAAAAAATATTATCTAATATAAAGTTATAAACTTCACTTGGGACACACTTGCCCCTTTATCATTTACTCCCTAATTAACTAATTAGGGCTGAGGAAGGGAAGGTGGAAAGGAATTGGAAAGCCACAAACAAGATATGGTGCCCACAATACTCCCGCCTGGATTTCCACTCCTTACCAATACATTTGATTTTCTTCAGGAAAAATTTAGTGGGATAAAATTCTAAATAAAGAAACTAATTAATATACCGTAAACTGGCGTTGAACATGCTAAATTTGCCTCATTTGAAAACCTTGCCAAGAAAACTTGACTAAGAAAAAAAGAGTATAATACAAAGTTTGTCCAATATACTGATTTCTTAAAAAATTTGCTTCCCCTGGTTAGAGCTCCCCCTCATTACAACATAGATTGTCATGAATTAATTTGGTTGCTTACTAAACCAGAGCATGCCGATGCTATACACCAATTTCTCAAAAGTTCAATTCGATAACAATATGCATTTATTGCATACTTTTATAAGGTGCTAGAATTTTTTAAATATCAGAAAATTTTCTAACCAAAGTTTACTTTAGTAGTGTCACGATATTTGTTATGCCATTTAAGTAAAAACATTTCTCGTGTTGACACTTGATTTTGGACGCCAACTACTCGCACGTGAGAAGCGTTAAGTGGATTTAGGAATCGCACGTGATGGATCTATGAGATTTGAATATGGAGCTGAAATTATATATGTTGCAGAAAATATAAATAAAAGATTGGCAATAGGGGTTTTTATAGTGGTTCGGATGCAACAAGCGACTCCTACATCCACTGTTATTTTATTGATCTCTGACTATTTATATGATTTTTCCCATAAGGCATACAAAGATGAAGAAATACATTGTTTACAGAGAGAGAATGAAATGAAGCTCAAATCTCAGCCCCCTCTCTGTCTCCGGGAAGAGGAGTGCCTATTTATACACCCTTGCACTCAATGTAATGAGTGTTTTGTAAGTTGTCTTGACACATGGAAGGCTCTCGTCCATTCATCTCTTTGAAATAAAGTTGGTGAGAATATCTTTGGAGATATGGGCTTGACAACTGATACAAGAACACATTAAATGAGCTGACATAGGCGTGATTTTTTAGACATAACATCTCGTTTGCTATCGGGTTTTGTTGGAGTTTAGAGAGGTACTCAGCATCAGTTCATTGACTAAAAAAGTTATGTTCAATCTAGTATACTATAATAAGTATAACAAAACATCTATTGTATTAAGATAGTATTTCAAAATCAAGTATCTTTTCATCATCATTTTTAGGACGATATAATTCCTTCTATGGATCAAGAGACCGAATGTTTAGGAACTCAAGGGATGAGCTTTAACCATATTAAAACCTTCATGATCTTTTTATAATAAGCTAATTGATGATCTAATTATTCTATCTAAACAATGCTCGATTTGTAAGCTGAGATGATGTCATGTTTTATGTAGATCCTTCATTTTAAAATCTTTTTCTTCAAGTACTTAATAGTCTTTGTGAACTATTTAAGAGTTCTAATTAATTAAATTCATGTCATCGACATATTCTATCCCAATTGGCAAAACCAAATACTAATTTTCTCATGAACACATAAAGGCATACAATATTATTAATATATCCTTCATTTCTCAAGGTTGCACTAGGACAATTATATCATGTTCGTTTGGATCATTTCAACTCATGCAAAAATCTTTGTTTTTGGCAATTTGAACTTCGTTTGTTACAATATTTCACCACTATTATGTCCTTATTCCAAATACAAATGCACGTTTGTTTCTCTATTTTCAAAATCATATTCTAAATTAACAAACTTTTTTAATCCTCCTAAGTTTGTTAATTGACAAAAACACCCCTAACAAAAAAAATTTATAAATTGACAAAAACAGCCACACCTACCCATAGTTGCCAGATTCTGGCAACCACCGTCAGTGGTGATCGGAATTTGTCACAATGGCACACTATCGGTCGTAAATAACCGGTAATGCATCAATCTAGTCTTTTCCGGCCAAATCTAGCCGAAAAAGGCCAGATCAGCACACAAACGGTCATATCTGGCAGGTCATGCATCGTAATGCCAGATTCTGGCGATGATGGCAGAAATCTGGCAACTATGGGTGGGTATGGATGTTTTTGCTACTTTACAACAAAATTATATATTTGGGTGTTTAGTTAAATTAGCAAACTTATGAGATTTTTTTTGTTAATTTTTAAATTATACCTCGTAATAATCACCCAACTCTACCTACCAATAATATTAAAAAAATACGACTCTAAATAACTAAACAAACACACAATAATAATGATTTTCATATAAATATCAATATCTATTATACCTGCAGCTATATAGTGATGATATCCATGAAATGCACATGAAGTCATTTATAAACTAATAAATTAATTAAAATGATATTGGTATTTATATAAGTAAAATGTCTCGTCTATTTTCTTAATTTTTATAATAAATTTCATATAATAAAAATATAATATTACTGTAATTATTAAAATGATATGCCCTTTGCCTTCAAGAGTTTCTTGTGAAAAATAAAACATGCTTCAAATTACATATTAAAAGGAAAAGGGAAATTATACCTACATCACGAATAAATTGAATGGTATACTGAACATTGATATTTGATAAAAGGGGTTAAGTGTAAGTCAATTATTTACAAGCAAATTAACACACTAGTTTTACATTATATAATATAAATCAAAAAATAAAAACTAACACAACTAATAACTGAGAAGAATAATTTCAATATATTTTTTGCTTTTCTTTTTTCTGTAACTTAAACCAAACGCATATTTCAAATCAAACTATCTAATAAAGATTCACAAAACCCGCGTAGAGCCAAAAGAATACTGTATTCTTTTATTCCTTCTCATTTTGAATTGACAATCACGCATGGCTTGCTTTCCGTATAAAACTAGCATTACTTCTCAATTCATTATCGTTCCCGGGAGTTCTCATTCCCCGGTGCGCTTCAATCGAAGTCTTTCCAGCTGGAGCCGGATAACGTGCCAGAAGATGTCTTGTTCGACCGAGAGCGATGTTCCTACTCTCAGAACCGTCACCATTTCTTACTCGGAGCTCAAGGCAAGTTCCTCTCCCAACCTCTGTTTTTAACTTCAATCATATGTGGTTTAGTGTAAATACAAGTGTCTGGAAAGTTCTGATTTTTTCTGGAGTCGACTGAAACAGGACAAGAACGCTGACTTGTCGATGAAAATTGAACAAGGGTTTGGACCAGACGGGCTTGGAATTCTCTCCGTTACAGATGTATGAATTCAGTTTTTCTCTATAGTATCTGTGTGCAATAATGTTATTATACTGTATAATGAGTATTGTTTTGGGACATGATCATATAAGTATAACCTGAAGTACATGGCAGGGCCTTCAACAAATGCTTCAAGTTAATGTTTTTCGTCTGTAATTTAAAGTGTCTCCTTTTCAATTTAATTCATGTATCTAGCATGGGCTCTTATATCTGAAATTTTGAGAACTAGTTATTTTTTTTTTATTTTTTTTTTTTTCATACTTCTAAAATTATTTTTTCGTTGTTTTTAATATGCTTGTGATTACTTTTCTGAATTTCAATGTTTGATCCTTGTAGGTTCCAGGGTTTTCTTCATTGCGTCAGAATCTTCTGCATCTTGCACCAAGGTACAAGATTCAAATTAGTTTTTCAATATCCATCTCAAGCTTGCTGTTATGTTTAAGCTTTAGGAAGTACTGAATCTACTGATGTATTTTTTTAGGAAGTATTTTTTTAATTTAAATTTCTCACAATATTCTATTTTATCAGATTAGCAAGTCTGCCTGAAGAGGTGAAGAAGGATCTTGAAGATCATCATAGTAGGTAATGATGTTGTTATCTCTCTTCTGATTTCCATATATTTAGACTGTTGACAGTTGACTGGATGAGATTTCTCTCTATATTGAGTCAACTACTACCAAAGCTCAAGAACCAGTGTTGTTTTTTTTTTAATATCTCAATGTCATTTTTACTATATGGATTGTTACATATCTACTGAGGGGCTAACTATGGCACAAATATGGAGGTGTAAACACTATGCTGCTTTATTCTTTTCTGTAACTGTTCGGCTAGATTTTCAAATTTCAGTCTGTGCCTCTAGCTTCAGTTAATTCCTGATAATGTTTGACACTTCTCAGAAAATAATAAAATTAAGTGAATTTTTGCAGTATTTTTTAGCTGATTTCAGCGTTTATTATAGCTTTTCTTGACAAATATTTTGGAAGATCCATAATGTTATTTTATGCTTTGTACCCACTGTTGCCTATAGGTATAATTTTGGATGGAGTCATGGGAAAGAGAAGCTTGAATCTGGAAAGCCCGGTAGGTATTTCAATTTTTAATTTTTAAGAACTATTCCAACAGCTTAAGTCAAATATGATAAATTTATTCTCTAGGGGAATGACGAAAGTGTTGGAAACTTCATTATATTTAATGTTATATGAGTTTTTTTTATTAGAAATACTGGGAACCTTCTGATGGTGGTATTAAGATGGTTTTTCAGAATGTTTATGACATAGTATGAGGTAGATTTAGTGATTACTGTTGTTGTGTTAGTGCAGAATTTTTTTTCTTTTTTAATTCTATTCCTGTCTTTGTTGCACAGACATGTTGAAGGGTTCCTTCTATGCAAATCCAGTATTGGATGTACCTACAACCGAGCCATCTTTGATACAACGGTAAATGTATTAGGAAAGACTTCTAGTGCTGCTTCCATTTTCTCATCTTCCGAGGTGTTATTGTAGATTTTGTGTCTGAGCAAAAAGATTGTGAAAGTGCGGATAAAGTAGGAATAAGAATGGGTGGATATCTATCTCTAATATGATAAATTTACCCTATAATTTTATTAAATTGATCCACTAAATCTTCCATTAAGATGTAATAGACTTATGTCTCTTTGTCATATGCAGATCGGATACAGAAAATATGACTGTGCTTAATTGCTCTATTTATTACCCATGCTCTGTCTTTTAGGTATCCCTCCTATTGCGGTTCAAATATATGGCCTGATAGTGCATTGCCCGAACTTGAAGTGGGTATGTTCACAAATGTTTACTGCATAATTTTCTCAGCTTCAAATAGTGACGAATTTTTTCTGCAAACTGGTTATTATCTTGTGTGGTAAATTTTTTGTTTTTTTTTTTTTTCAGACCTTCCTAACATGATTTTAGGATTCTTTATTGAAAGCTTTTATTTGAGTCTTTGGGATGCAGTCTTGCAAGCTATATTACCAATCCGTAACCACTGTACTAAGGCTTAATCTTAAATTATAATTTACATTAGATTTTCATTATGCTACAACCATATGGAGCATCTTGACATTAAAGGAAGTCGTAATCTGTCCAGAATCATATGCTTGTTTGTGGAATATTTGTATGTGATGTCTATTGGTTTCTCTGCTTGCGATCTATTTGTAAGTTTTGTTATATTATGTATTAATTTATGATTTCTTTGTGTTTATTGTTGTGTATATGCGTGCATGTGTGCACTGCTGAAGTAGCTGATGTTTGTGGCTGGCATCGGTGGAATTATTTTTCTTCTATACGACATATTTCTAAAATAATCTTTTTTGGTATGAATCTTTGCCATATTTATGAACAAGATGTTATGAAAGGGAGTGAATTTTTGTTCCTTGTATACCAGTTCTTATATTTCTTGGGTTGGTTATTTGGCTTTTCAGTGTGCCTCATAACTATTTTATCTGCCTACTGAATTTTAATTTTTTTCTTTTTAGCTTTCAAAAGTCTTGGAAAGCTGATCCTAGATGTTGGACTGAGGGTGGCATTTCATTGTGATCGATATGGTAAATCTCCCTTGCTTGAAATTGTGGCTTTTATATATGGAGGTTATCAATGATTATTGTCTTTTCCTGACTCTAATTTAGATATTTTATAGGACAAGTTGAGTATGTGCATATATGGTTTATGCCCTTGATTTTGTGAGAGTTTCAAATAACTAGATTCTGGGAGATGTGTTTCATACCTAAGAAGCTAATAATTCTAGTTTTTTACACTTCTTGTTATGTGATAATAATATATGTTTATATGGCTTAATAGATCTTCTATTGAGATTAGAAGTTCCAGGGCTGTCTCATATTAGATTTGAAAGTTTGCTTTTATCAGGCCTGAAAACTGTGCTGCGCTGAAACCAATTGGACACATAGCCAAGTGTGGCCTTCTTGTTACTTTGGCTTCTTTGTTTTTAATTAAATTTTCGTCCGAAAAGATTTATAATTTTCTTAGTTTAATGCTTATAATATCACAAATGAAACCTTTTGTACTATCTATACTCTTATCTATCAGTATAAGATGATAATATATATGCTAATATGGCTGCATGGAACTGCTTTTAGGCTTTAAAAACTAGGATCAGTCACATTTCAGGTTGAGCCATGCTGATCTCAGGCCTGAATCAACCATCATGTATGAACCTTGGTAGGCTTGGCCCTAATTGAATAACTGCCAGCTGTGGCCTTCTTGTTGCTTTTGTTTCTGTTTTTCCATAATGTTCTCTTTTAAGAATACGACCTAGTTTTCTAATTTGAATAGCTATTTTGGCATCCATTGACCTTAGTTTTGGATAATCACTTGATCAGTGTCTAAAGGAATGAAAATGCATGTGGATGAAGGCCTTGAGCAAATACTTCTTCGCTCTCGATGTCACAAAGGCCGTCTGCTTTATTACTTTCCAGCACAAGAGAGGTATCCATTTTGTTTTTCTCATCACTGTTTTCCATAGCTAAAATAGATATATAAGTTTAGGATATAGTAACTTATTTGACTTAAATTGTGACACTCATATATAATCATCAAGCCATTGCAGTCTAATGATATGTGTGTGTGTGTGTGTATTGCTTGCAAACCTCAAAATATTTTTTCAAGTCATGGCAATCTTACAGGTACATAAATATTTAGATCAATTATGTCGTCAAATTGAAATTATAGGATCAGCATTTAACATTATGGTGTTGCTTTTAATTATCTCTGTAATGCATGATTTCATTAAAATGACAACAAATTCATTTTATGAAATGTTGGTTTGCTTCTAAATGAAGCTTTATCTCTGAATCTAGTCACAACCAAGAGATGACTAATAAGTTATAATGCTTGGATGTCAATAAATATATTAGTACCATGCAAGTACATATTCGTAAGATGTTGCATTCGGTGCCACTTTCTTGATTGGCATTGTCATCTGAAGGCAATTTTATATGCTCCCAACCAGGGAAGAAATGAGGCATAGTATTGGCAAACTTTTTAGATTTCTTAATTGCTTTTACTCATTGTTATTACTTCAGTTTCTAGCTTAAGCTCTGATATTCCATCAACTAATTTGGGGAAGTATGAGATGTAAACCACTAACTGGGGAATTCATGGCTAGAACTAGATTTAAGGATTTCTATGTTTTGTTTCTATTAATGTAATTTGATGAATGAGCAATCATCTTTTGGTTACATGATATGCCACATACTCTGTTGCTGAGATGAGGCAGTTCTTCCATTTTTATCTCTTCAGCCATGACTTTTCGGCCTTGTCAGCAGTCATGGTTTATGCGAGTTCCTACACTTTCATTGTAGCTTTTTGTGGTGGATAAGATTGTTGATTTAAGAAAACTCTTTTTGTGAAAATGTACCAGTGGGGAAATAAACAAAAACAAAGTATCCTTAAGTTGCAGTGCATTATTGTTGTATTTGTTCACTGAATAATTAATATGGGCTTCCATAAATGATCTTATAACTAGTAGGCTATGACTTGCAGCAATCATGTCCAAGATGGTGACTCGATGTCATCTTGGTGTGGGTGGCATACAGACCATGGCTCATTGACAGGTGATTGGTTTTTATTCTCACCTAATTTTATCATTCTTTCTTGCCAGAACATTAGTTCATAGCTAGCTCATTTATATTTTTTTATTTGTTGAATCATTAGGTCTAACTCACTACACTGTACCAATAATCAATAGTTTTTACCAACCACACTATTGCAACTCATAAACCTTAATAGTTTACTATAGTTCAATTTTTTTTATAATGATGCTGCAGTTTATATTTTAGACTGCATAAATATATTGATTCCCTTATACCTGCAACTTTTATTGGCTTAATTTAAGGTAACAGTTTTTGTGAAGTTAAATATTATATGGATTTCAAAGAAGAGCTTGCCATTCTCGATCTTGTGACACATTTTTTTAGTTGTTTTTGTATCTAACTTTTTCTTGAATCCAATATGTAGGTCTGACCTGTGGTATGTTTACAAGAGATGGTATTGTATTACCTTGTCCTGATAATGCTGCTGGCCTCTATATAAGAACACGGACTGATCAAATTGTCAAAGTATATATTCTTGATCATGATATCCAGCAGTGCATATATTCAATCATGATAATTGACAATCCTAAGGGCTTGTTTCAAAGGGTTCTTCATTGGATAGTAAAAAGACAAAAATCTTTCTGATAAGAAACAAACTTCATTGCAAAGAATTTGTATTATGAATGTCTGCCTAATAAATGGATTGAAAACTGCATTTTCAGTAACTGAATTCACATTACTGACTACCATGTGTCATATAAAAGGATAGATTTGTTACCTTGTAACTTGTTTCCTGTTTTAACATAAGGTTGTCTATGGAGAAGATGAGATAGCATACCAAATTGGTGAGACAACTGAAATACTGTCAAGAGGTTTTCTCTGTGCAACACCTCATTGTGTCCGGGTACGTTCTATAATCATCTTTTTTATGTGTTTGGAAGACTGGCAAAAGTTCATCAAAATATGCCATGTATAATACTAATCATAGAATTTACTCAAATAATGTTTTCTGGGTTTTTGTTCTGAGGTTTATCTCGATCTGGATTTTATTTCTTAGATAGTATGTGAGGCTCATCAAAAGAAATTTATTACAAGGGTGCCATTGCTATTTTTAGATATTTCATGAAGTTAATTCTAACTTGAACTAAGACAACAAAGGTTCGAGTTGGCTAGTTGCTACTCCATGTACAAGTTATTGAACTTAGGTTCTTTGCAATGGATAGGTGCTTCAGCTTTTAGACTTTTTATTTATGTCTAAAAAAGTACAAAATGGGTTTAGACGGATTTGAGTTTCCAAGATACACAGTTTGTATCATTTAGATTAAATTAAGTATTTCCTGTCTTAACTTCTATGGAAACAATATCTTCATGTTCTTACACTTAGTTATACACCCCATGTACAAGGGGCTACCCCCTTGTTGTCTTTCTAATAAATTTATACTTTCCTAAGGTCAAATATTAAGCCTTTGTTGTACTGAGGGAGTTCTGTTATCTAACCATTGACAAGGCCTTCTTTCTTAGTGAGTTGATGGCTGGGCCTTGTCTTTGTATACTGTGATAAACAAGTGACTAGGTGCTTATGTGTCTAAATTTTGTTTTGATCTCTTTTATTTTTCCTTTAGTTTGTAATGCCAAATTTACCATGCTAACGTCTGTTATTCCTGTGGTCTATCAGGCACCAAATGGAAGGGATGCTTCTGGTGTTGACAGATCCACATTTGCATTATTTATGCAACCAGACTGGTATATTTCTGTACAGAGATTAGTTACTTTTTGTAGACAAATTTATCTGAACAAATCTATATAGCTTTAGCCGCAATGTTGTTATACTAGTTTATGGAATTCCTTTCGTCTTTTTTTAGGGACGAAAAGCTTAACTTTCCTGAGGAGGTACACATTCATAAAGAGGTATCTAATATAAAATCCTATCCTGTGATGATTTTCGGGCACCAGTTATGGACACAGTGTGAAAACATATGCTGAAATTTTCCAGCTGCAAATTATGTAGTAAAAAAGAGTCGAAAGTGATGTGACAATCTGTTTGGGGTTTTTGCTTTAAGATATGCTTCTGAGGCTGACTCTTTCAAAAGCTGGAACTGAATAGAACACAGTGAAAAGTATAAAATTTTCAAATCACTAAAAGGGGAAAGAAAAACTGAAAAAGTATGGCTTGATTCATCTCGTCTGATTAAATTCACAACATGCATTTTAGTGGATTATTAGAAAACATTGTCAATTGTCTAGCATGATCAACTTACATATTATATCGAATAAGGGATCCGTCAAGAAGTTAATTTTTTTCATATGCAATTGGTTGAGTATAATGGTAACTTAATCGACTTTCTTTCCGTTTAATTTTCAGGTGATATCATCAAATTCAAATGGATCTCTTACATTTGGAGAATACTCAGAGAAACTTCTCGACAAATATTACCACCTGAAAACATAAAAATTTATCATCCAAATTTCCTCTAATGCTGTGGCCCGTGGGAACTCAGTATGAGAATTCATCCTGACTAGATGAATGATTGAAATCAATTGTAAGTTGACATTGTTGAATTTCTACAAGCATATCACAAAAGAGAACAAAAAAATTTTAGGGGTGAGCACGGGTAGCAGGTAGAATCGGAACCTACGAGTAGAATAGAAATCAGACACTGTGTGGTTCCAGATTCGATTCCTACATGTGGAGGAACCGAAACCGGAACCAAAAGCTGCAGCGGGTACTTTGTTTTGGAACTTGGGCTGAAATAAATATTTGTGAAGCGAGAGGTTTATTGTAATTTTACAAATAAAAAAATTTTAAATGGAAAAAGTTAAATTTTTACAATAGCCTAATTAAATAAATATACAATTATTCTTATTATATTTAAATTATATCATATAAAAAAATTTAATAAATTATAATATATTAATATTAAAGTTTTGATTAATTAAGTGTATAGTTGGAATTAAGACCAATTAAAAGTGTTTTAATGTTATTAAAAAAATTATTTTTTAATAAAATAGTATATTTGGTTGAATAATAATAATATAATATTTAGTTATTTAATTCAATTATCAAGTTCTAAATATATCATTACATTATAGTTAAATGATTATTTAATTAATTATAATATTCTATTATAAACATTAGTACAATATTTAATTAAATTATTAGAAATTTAATTAATTATTTCTTCTATTTTTATATAATTGTCGTTTTAAGCCTCTGGACAGTTTTTAATAAATCAATTTCATCTTTTCTCAAATTGACTTTTTTCTATGATATTATAGGCGGGAAAATTTTGTTTTTCCTACTGCACCCATGTGTGAAATATTGAAAGAGAGAGAGGAAATGTGAGTCACAGAAAAAAGTGGAGAGAGAAGATGAGGTGAGAGTAGAGAAAAGAGATGTGGGCGATCGAAAAGATAGATAAAGAGAGAGAAGACATGTGAGCCATAGAAAAAAGTAGAGAGAGGAGATGAGGGGAGAGTATAGAAAAGAGATGTGGGCGATGGAAAAGATAGATAAAGAGAGAGAAGAGATGTGGGCATAGAAAAAAGTGGAGAGAGGAGATGAGGGCAAAGTAGAGAATAGAGATGGGGTTCAGAGAAACATTGAAAGATAAATGACAGCAGGTGCGTTTGGCTTATTGTTTTTATCTATATTCCTAATCCTATTTTTCAAATGTTGTTTGACACGTTATTCCTAAAATATTAGTTGAGACCTTATAAGTTTATTAATTTCATTAAATACCTCCTAGAAAAAAAGTTTAAAAACTAACAAAAACACCCTCATCCACCAATACCTGCCAGGTTCCGGCTATCATCGGAATCTATCACAATAGTTACACAGCCACCGGAAATAGCTGGTAATGGCCAGATCTACAGTCAACGACGACCAAAGAAATGGCCGTCGTTGACAGACAACAACGACCATATCTTTGGCCGTCGCTGACGACCAAAACCTTTTCCGGCCGTCACAGCCACAGCAATTCGTAGATCTGGCCGGAAAAGGCCATAACGACGTGTTACGACACAGATCTGACCGGTTTGTGTCGTAAAAAAAAATTTCGGCTAGATTCCGGCGGTGGTGGCCGGAATCTGGCACTGCAAGTGGTTGGGGTGTTTTTGTCATTTTATATATTAGGGTCTTTAATTAAATTAGTAAACCTAAGGGCTTTTTCATAAATTTTTAAAGTTTATCTCGTAATACTCCCTTATCTAACAACCCAATACTATCCCCAAAATCTTATCCAAAATAATAAATCAAACGCACCCAGCATCATTTATCTTGAAAAAAGTTAATACCCTCAAAACGACATTTATAAAAAAAGAAATGAAGCATAATATTATATTAAAGATTTATAATATAATTACTCAATTTATTATAACATTACATTATAGTATTGTTACATAATTAAATAATTATTTAATTAATTATGACATTATATTATAAACATTAGTAATTTACTACATTAGCATAATACTTAATTAAATAATTAAGAATTTAATTAACTATAACATTATATTATAAATTTATAGTATGATTACTTAATTAATTATGACATTTCATTATAAACATTAGTACAATACTTAATTAAATGATTACAAATTTAATTAATTATAATATTACATTAAAGATTTATAGTATGATTACTTAATTCATTATAACATTATATTATAGTTTGATCACGTAATTAATTATAACATTACATAATTAAATGATTACTTAATTAATTATGACATTATATTATAAATATTAGTAATTTCCCACATTAGCATAATATTTAATTAAATGATTATAAATTTAATTAATTATAGTATTGCATTATAAATTTATAGTATGATTACTTAATTGATTATAACATTTTATTATAAACATTAGTACAATACTTAATTAAATGATTAGAAATTTAATTAATTAAAACATTACATTATAATTAAATAATTACTTAATTAATTATAACATTACATTATATTATAATCACTTAATTAATTATAACATTACATAGTTAAATGATTATTTGATTAATTATAATTTTATAACATTACATTATAAACATTAGTAATTTACTACATTAGTACATTACTTAATTGAATGATTAAAAATTTAATTAATTATAACATTACATTATAGATTTATAATATAATTACTTAATTAATTATAATATTCCATTATAAACATTAGAACCATACTTAATTAAATGATTAGAAATTTAATTAATTATAATATTAAATTATATATTTATAGTATGATTGTTTAATTAATTGTTTATGTCTTGGTTTTGATTGAGGAATTTTATGTGAATTGTGATGAATTGATTGGATTCAAGTGTTGCCTAGAGATTAAAGGATTTATAGGTCACATTGGACACAAATAAATGAGTAATAAAAAATTTTCAGGGGTGTATTTGTAAACTTGTAAGGTATTTTTGTAATTTGTTAAACTAATAGGGGATAATTGATTTTTATAGGATACCCAAGAAATGAGTCAGAACCTGCATTTTAGGTTCCGATTTCTTGAATTTAAGAATTTATATTATGCGGTTCTAGTTTCGATTCTTTTTTTTGGGAACCTGTACTGTATGGTTTTGATTCTGATTTCTCTGAAAAATACAGGGTACTTGACTACTCATTAAAGGTGGAACAAATGAGCCGGGTTAGGCGGGTCAACCCTAACCTGGCCTACATTAGAGAGGGTTCAACCCTGTTGAACCCAACCCGCATGCAATCCTTGGGCGGGCCGGGTTTCTATATGACAACCCGTCAACCCGGCAGGTTGCTATTTGTTTACAATAGCCAACCCGACGGGTTGGGTTGGCCCAAAAAAAATTAAAAAAAAATTTATTTTTTTCAAGTTTCCCCCATTTTTTTAATTTTTTAAATTAAATTATTATAATTGAACTCTTACAAATAATTTTACACAATAATATTAAACTATACTTCTAAATCATAAATATTAAAATGTATAAAACTTCGTAATATTTGACACATTGTTATTATTATTTTTTATGGTACGTAAAATATAAAAAAATCAAATACTGAAGCCTTATTCTTAAATTTCCTATGTCTTGTATAAAATAAAATTTATTCTTATGCTAAAGTTTCATCAATTGAATGAATAAATCTAATTTTTCTTATATTACAATTTTATTGTATTAAAATTGAATTAATATTTGAAATGTTAATAAAAAAAAATTAATTTAATTGAATTATTGATATTTGAAAAGTTAACTAAAAACAATTACATTTATTCATTTATAAATCGTTAATTATTTAAAGTTAACTAAATAAAATAAAAACAAAAACAAAAATAAAAATAAAAAATAAAAAAGGGGGTTTAACCCGGCCCGGCACATAACCTAACCCGGCGGGCCGGATTAGACCAACCATTTCCCCAAACATGGCAGGCCTAACCCGGCCTATCTCTGTTGAGGGATGGGTTAGGACCAACCCGTCAAAATAGTAACTTGTCACCGGGCGGGTCGGCCGAATATGTTACTTTTCCAACTCTACTGTCCATCCCTAAAAAAAAAAAAAATATATAAATAATAAGATAAGATATTGCACGGGTTCCAATCTTATACAGACACCAATGACAGATAAGTAGGGGCCAAACAGAGTGACGTTTGCTTCTAGCTGTCGGCTGTAAAGTGTAAACAGTAAACGTAACTGAACAACAAAAAATAAATTCTTTCTTGGTAGTTGATACGGATAGGATAGGAATAATATGTAATGGCCTTATTAAAAGGAACAAGAATAATTTGTTTTGAATTAAATAAAAACATAGGTCAAACATTTGGTGATCGTAGTACACTGAGTTTGAGAGAAAGCAATTTTAAAATATTTCAGCGACAACTGATGAGTAAGATAAATTGAACTTGGGCAGCCGACTTGGGTTGCCTAAAAAGAAAACGTGGTTAATAAAGTCAACAAATCCACGTCAGTAGAGGCTTCAGCGTCAAGTGGCCTGTATTTATTTATCGTACACGGCTCTTTCACAATTGAACCTACGGTCTGTTTCAGTTTCGACCGAGGCCCACAGGTTTTCGACCAAAATAAATGATATTTATTACTTGTAAATGACTGAAATAGCCCGTAGCATTTCCTTGCAATTTCTTTTATTATATAATTCGGATAATTATTTGATAAATTTTGTATTTATTTCTATTCAGGAACTCTACCAAACATTAGATGAATTATATAAATGATTTATTTACAATATCATATCCACTGTTTTGAGTTTTTGGAGCATTTACATAGGTTATGAATTAATTTTCAGGTTTACATTGTTGGGTCCATGCAAATAATATGATTTTTAATTAAACATTAAACTAACGTTCACCAATTTTGTGAACAAACTAAAGTTTCAACACAAAAATATGTTTAAATTACGAGTCAAATATAAAATGTTTAATAATAGAAACATAATATAAATGGTACATATTCTCGGATGTTAAACAATTATTAAAAAAAGAAAAAGGAAGAAAGTTACTTTAAAAATATATGGTAGAAATTGGTTTAGAGAGATTCTAGATTATTATAACCTGATTATAACAAATGTATATGTATAGTATAGCAATTAAAATATAAACCACACGTCTTCGAAAAACGGGGATAGCAATGTAATATCGTCCAGAAGTGAGTTTCCTAGAAATGACATAAAAAGTACAGATTCTTTTTTCTGTTGAACGCCTATTTAATCACCAACCGTCTGCTCTTTCTCTGATAATCAATTTCGATTCACCCAATTTTCTTTCTTTTTAGGGGTCTTTTGACGGCCATGTCCATTCCTTATTTTATCGCCGCACCTCATCCTCGCCGCAGAAAACAACCCAAGAAATCTTCCGGCTTTCGAAGGCGTTGTTTGCAAATGGTAAAGCAACAGAAAACCCGTTTCTACATCCTTGGACGCTGCGTTTCCATGCTTTTATGTTGGCACGAATACGATCATGATATCTCTGATTGATTTGGGTTGGTTAATTTAATCATGTTTTGTTATGATTAAATGGTTTCAAGCTCAACTGCGCGAATGAATGGGATGGGAGAGAAGAGACGTCATTGGAGGACATAATTTTTTTTTTTTTTTTTGGTAGTTTTAATTGGGGGTAGTGTATTTAAAGAAGAATGATTATCGATTTTTATTACTGTAAAATTTTGTTGGTACATAGTATAGCAGTAGGTTTCTAACGATTCGCAGGTACCAACAGAAATTATTTCTATAATTTTCTGTAATTGATATTGATACAAATCACTTCCATGAGAGATGTTAATTCACTTCAATTTTTTTAATTTTTAGTTCACAAACTTAACGATTAATATCGGTTGTTAATGTTATTACCGGTAGCCGGTACGTAAATCAATAAGGTATAACCACTGTAAATTTATTTATTAATTAAATAAATAATATGTTTTGTAAGGAAAATAATTCCCCTAATCCACACTTCTTGTTTTTCCTATAAGTTCCAAATGCCAGAATGTAAAATTTTGTCAACATTCTGAACTATATTGTATTGCTAAAAAAAACTATAATGTAAACAACCTTTAATGGGTAATGTTTGTTTGTGCTTCAGTTGTACTCTTTTTCCACGCCATTTTGTGGGCAACGTAACCTATCCTATCTATCCCCCTCGTTAGTAAATTCGTGTATTATTCGTGAATTATACGTCCAATCGAATAATTTATGTATTATTTGTGAATTGTCGTATTTTATTTATCCAATCATATTATTTGCAAATTATATATCTCAGTCGTATTATTCATGAATTATTCTCATATCCGAATTTTTGCCGAGTTTTTACAAACGTATTTTTCACCAGTGTTCTGAAAACCAGACTGGACCACCCGGTCGGACCGGTTCGACCTGCAACCGGTGGCAAATCCGGTCGGGTATATATAAAAAACCGCTATTTGAAGTTAAACCGAATTGGAACCGCGGTTGGACCGCCGGAATAGTGCCGAATCACAGTCCAATCACCGCCGGATTCTGGCATCTTTCGATGGAGAAAACACCATCATTCGATAGACGGCATCTCCACGACCAAACCCATCCATTTTCAGTCGCCGTCATCCAGCCTTCGTCAATCGCCATCCACCTAAAGTTTACGGCTTTACACGACGTCGGATTTCTTTCGTTGATTCCGGCAAGTTCCGACGTCGATGGAACTTCGTCGCACCACCATCAGAGTCGCTGGCACCTGCACATCAAAAGCCCCAAGATTCCAACTTTGATTGGCCGTCGATCGTCGCTACCGCCACACTCACTAGAATCTTTAGGTGACAGGGGTGTTTTAGATAGATTTCAAACCTTAAGGGAGTATTATAGGGGTGTTTTTGATGAATTTCAAACCTTTAGGGACCACAATATTTTTACAAATTACAGTCCAACCGGCCGATCCAACTGGTCAAATCGGTCAAACTGAAAACTGGACCCTTGAACGGGTCATTGTCCAGTTCAGTTTTTAGAACATTGTTTTTCATTGTTTGCCGTATCATACCCGTACCCATTTTTTGCCGTACTTGTATATTTGAAATGCTATATAGATTTTAACCAAATAGCTCATGAAAAGTGCTAAAATTAGGATTGATATTGATGTATTTTTAAAACGTATTATTGATAATGTGTCGTATCAAATTCGTACCGTATTTTTTTCGTATCCAAATTTTATAACTGAATTTTTATAAACGTATTTTTCACCATTTACCGTATCATATCCGTAAAATTCTTATACTTTTTTTTGCTGTACCCATATTTACTAACTAGGTCTATCCCCTTGCTAATTTCATTCTAAATAAAATTGTATTATATAAGAAAGAAGAATTATTTTTGAAAGAGAACTGAGAAAAAATAAGTACACAATACCACAGAAAAGCAAATGCATATTAAGTTGAAGAATTAGGAAAATAGTAATTTTGGAATTATAATAATTCAAAATAAATTTAATATCAAATAAATGCCATGCACTTATAAGTTATAATACTCCACATGGTTTAAGAATTAAGCATTGCATTGGGCACCTCAATGGACCGTTACGAGATTGATCCGATTGGAGCAGCTCAAATCAAACCCTACCCAACCCAAATTACCAACCCCAACACACCCAAACGATGCCGTACTAGCTAAAACCTCATAAGGCCCCTGTAATTTCTCACTGCATAAACCCTAGGAATATTTCCAGTTTCCTTAAGTTGCAGCTGCTAGTTGGTGGATGAGTGTTCGAAATCTTTTTCAAAACTGTAAGTTTCTAACTATTGTTTCTGTTGTCAGTTATCGAAAATCATTTAAACTCTTGGTCTTTCAAATTCTTTTAGTTAGCTGGTGGGATTAGCTCTTCAAACTTAGCAATGTTGGACGAAAGCAAGTTTGACGTTGACCTGAAACTATGGGCACTTAGAATACCGCGCGAGCTGTGTAAGGTTGCCTCCCGATTACTGAACGGGTACAGTCTTATTCAATAGTATTAACCCGGTTAATGGAAATTACCTGCATTTCGCCTCTTGTTTATTCGTGTAGTTTTGAACATATACTTTTTTCATAGAAAACGGTATATTTTGAATATATTTCTTTTTTGGAAACTTAATTTATATATAAACACAAGTAAGGATCATGTTTTGCTAGTATATAAACACTAAGTAAAAGATATCCTTTCGAGGATAGGTTGAACATGGCTTTTTGTTTCTGATCCCAATTGTTGTGTTGTTATGGACTTCACTGTTTTGGTATTTATGTTTCTTCCTTGTGCTTGTATAAAATGCTAAGAAGAATTGGAAATTTGCTGAATAGTGAATTTGCAGAAAGGATGTCAAGACACATTATTGTCTTTGCATTTCTGAAGTTGTGCTATGTGATATCCTGTAGGCTGGATGGATCTATTACTTGAAAAATCCAATAATCTGATGAGGCATCATCACACATGCTTGTCTACTTCTATAACTTTTCTTTTTTTAATTATTTGCAGATATATTCTTGACAAGGCCCGTGTTAAACCAATTACTGAAGACCCAACTTGTGAACAAAACCGTTACTTGATATTATCGGAAAGGGTTCAAAATTCTGGTGAGGAATGTTGAAACAGTTAGTTGGATATATACATAGTATATACAACTACCAAGAATATTTATAACTGATTATATTGATTGTGAATGAAAGAAACAAATTTGATGTTTACTTGCCATCTGAGTCACCATTTTGTTGATCTACTTGACAATTTTGTAGAAGAAAAAAAAAAAGGTTGTCATTCCTGCTAACTTTGTTTCTTATATAATATTTTCATTTGAACACCCAGGTGACTTTAGCTGAGAGCTCTGCTAATTGTCCATAATAACTCGCTGCCAGCCTCAATTTTCAGCTTGGCCCTTATTCTTAGGCCTGTAACTTTGTTGACTACATTCAGATCACATTTTATCTGGCTATGGTCATTCACAACTTATGCTTAATTCTCTTAGTGAACTTTGTTGTTCTTTTTGTGGATGAAGGGACTCAAATCAGGCATGCCAATCTTGTTGTATTATTTATTTGTCGTTAGATTTCTTTTTTGCTTACTTAGTGTCTTTAGTAGGAATAGCAGTTTTGATTCTGTCCTGATTATGATCTACCTACACTAGATTTATTGTGAAATTCCCCTCTTTTCTATGTGATCAGGAGCCAATGAACATTCACCTTGTGTTTTTCCCTCTCTTTGTCTCAAGTGCTAATGCACAGAAACACTTGTGCAAGATCATGCATGATTCTCTGTTTGGTGTAAATTGTTATAGAACCCGTCCTGTAGTTGTCACGAATAATTCCATTTATATTTTTTTCTTTAAGCATGCCTATCAAATTAATCTTACTTGCATTTGCATCCTTTTCTAAAACTATTTTTGTTGCAGTCTTTTATTTTTTTATTTTTTTATTTTTTTTGCATGATCTGAATGAGTCCAAGCTTTATGATTTGGACCTCTGGGCACCTATTTAAAAATGTTTGCTTTATTGGTAAGCATGTTTATCTTTCACTAATGGAAATTTCTTGATGTAGAAAAGATTTATCTGATATTCCTGATTCAAAGCTTGAAGAACTCAGTAAGTTATGCAAGATTGAAGTAGTACCGTATTCCATGACACTTGGATATTCCTACTGGGACGCAGGTTTGTTGCAATGCTTTTGGATGTGTATTGCAAATAGTTATCTGTTTTTATCCTTTTGTTAGAATACTATTTTTCTCTGTCTGTCCGCTCACATATCATAGTCTAAAGATGAAGTGTATTCTTGAGGACAGCTTTAGATTATGTGGCACATTTGGTAGTAATGATATTTCAATTGAATTTTGTTGTTTGTCTGAACTAATTTACACTGGTCATCTTGATTGTAGATTATGTATTGAAGCAGATTCTGCCCCGTGGTGTGGAGGTACCCACATCTTTTGAAACCATAGTTAAGTATTCAAATCATGTCATAATTCCATTTGATGTTTTTCTTATACGCACTTTCCTTTAACTTTACATGTGTTATCATATGGAAAGCATGTCAGTTTCATATAATACCCGCTACATGGTGCAGCAAATAAGTTAAAAGAAGATGCACTCCACATTTTCAGTTTTCAACATGAACATCATTACTGATTAGTCAATTAACATTTCATCTTGTTTTTGCAGGTCACATTGCCCATCTTAATATTCACGATGAATTACTTCCTTTCAAGGATGTTATTGCGAAAGTCATTTATGATGTATGTTTCATTTGCTTCTGGCTTTAATTCAAGTTCACTTTTTATATCATTTGTGCTTTCATCTCTCTCTTTTTAGTGTCATCATGAGTTAGAGGACCTCTTGAAGTTTGACCTGCTTATATCTGTTTTGGTGCTCAGTGTTTTTCATTGGTTACTAATGTTAGTGTATAATGTCCTTTCCTGGTTTTATGTTGATCATTGTTCCCAGTCAGATCAAGAAGTATTCGCACTTTTTTGTTTTAGTTTTTTTTTGGTTATGGCTGTAGTCTCTTTGGTGTCGAATTTGATCTCATGTTAATATGTTTCTGTTCTGCTGAGTTTCCACCATGGTGAGAATCTTTGAACTTTAGTTTCTTATTATGTTGCAGAAAAATTATCCAAGAATCAGAACTGTTGTTAATAAAGTTGGAACTATTACCAATGAGTTTCGAGTACCAAAATTTGAAATTTTAGCTGGAGAAAATAATATGGTTACAGAAGTGAAGCAGTATGGGGCAACGTTCAAGCTAGATTACAGTTTGGTCTATTGGAATTCAAGATTGGAACATGAACACCTTAGACTTGTGTCTCAGTTTCAGCCTGGGGAGACCATATGTGACATGTTTGCTGGTATTGGCCCTTTTGCTATTCCAGCAGCACAGAAAGGATGCATTGTGTTTGCAAATGATTTAAATCCAGTTAGCATTCACTATTTGAAGATTAATGCAACAGTCAACAAGGTTGATGATTTTGTTTGTGCATATAATATGGATGCAAGGAAATTTATATCTCAAATGATAGTAGCACCAGTGGGCAAAATTAATTTAGAATCTGATGTTTCCTTGCTCAAAGCTTCAAACAACTGTGGCATACAGGCTAATGATGAAACAAGTGCCAAAATTGCTGAGCTTGGAGGTAATCTACTTGTTTTGATATCTGCATCATCCTCCTGTAAACTTATTGCATATCATTTTACCTTAGTTTTCTGTTTCTACGCAGTTGAGGTTAAAGAAGTACCTGGTATTGTTAAAAATGATCTGGAGGGTGTAGAAAAGTATTGTAGGAAGTCAGATACACCTGGTACTGCAGCTAAGAGACCTTCTGATGGTTGCTTGGAAGGTATGACAAGCTGCAGCATCAGGCATCAATTCCTCTGGAGTGAATGTTGTGTTTACATATTTTGTTATCTTTGAAGTGCTGTAAAGTGTGTACTGGAACAAAAGTACACAAATATTTTTCATTTCGTCTTCTGGTAGAAATGTGAAAATTTTTCATTTCTTTTTCCGCGGCAGAAACTGGAAATGACAAGAGTGCTTCTGTGCCTATTGCTGGTGGGAGGAAAGGAAAGAAAAATAAGAGGATGAGAGGCTCTGAGTTGCCTAATGCTAAGACATGGGAGCATGTTGATCATGTAATAATGAACCTTCCTGCTTCTGCTCTAAACTTTCTAGGTACACTTTTTTAGCTCTCTCTCTTTCGCACATGCACACATACTCACCAAACTTTGTGTATATTTGAAAAAATGTGTTGGCATGTTTTCTTGCAGTTCTTATCATTATGTTTTCCTTTTGGCAACCATCTTTTTTGTTTTTGTTTTTTTTTGTTTTTCCTTTTGTTTTTCCTTTTTTTGGTAAGTTAGACATATTCTTGGTCATAAATTGTTGTAATTTATCTTATATATTTCATTTTTTCTTTGCAGATGCATTTAAGGGCCTCATCCAGAGGAAATATTGGAAAGGATCTCTTCCTTGGATTCATTGCTATTGTTTTATGCGGGCAAATGAAACTGAAGAATTGATAATTTCAGTAAGTTTTTGAAGATATGCTGGTGTTTTTTTTTTTCCTAATATATTTTATGCTCTTTTACTGGTCCATGGATAAGTTGAATAATTGCTTTAGCTTATTTTTTAAGGCCATCAACATTTTCATGTCATTTTGAAACCTAACGGGTAGCTTATTTTAGTAGTTATCAGGCCCCTGCTTTTGATGCCATTTGCCTTATATTGTCCTGTCCATCTCAACTGTTTTACTAATGTATCTCTAACGTGTCAGATGCTGCAGCCAATACAGAATCTATTTCTATCGATTTGATAATTCCGTGAATATTGTAATCTGAATTGCTTTATTCAATTGTTTTGCAGGAGGCAGAATCTGCCTTAAATGCCTCCATAAAAGACCATATATTTCATAAGGTTAGGAATGTTGCTCCAAACAAGGTACAACCTACCACCTAGATCAAGGTCTCTCAAGTATTTAGATAATTATTTAAAAGCTCTGTTTAATAGATTTTTGGGTTCATATTTACATAAGTCTGACAATCATGTTGTTTTCATGTTTTCTGAGCACTTCTTTACTGTCCAGGCGATGTATTGCTTGAGTTTTAGGCTGCCGGAAGCATGCTTCAATGAAGATGCCACTCGTGATCTTCATTCTTCTGGTGAAGAAATAGCCCCAGTTTGAACTCAATTTTGATTTGCCATCAATTTGGAGAGCTTGTTCTTAGTTTTGACATATTTCGTCGGTAACATGGCACTGGTGCTTCCTGCTATTTTTAACTATGCAGAATGGAAGCTTTAAAAGGAATTGATAGTACTTAAGCTGATTTGAATGTAACATGAATCTGATTTATATCTTTTTAAAAAAAGTTTTTCCTTTATTGTTTTGGATCGTCTTTTAATTGTACATATTTTTACCTTGTGAGATGCTCAGTTAGCTCAATCTGTTTTGTTAATCCCATGCATGGATTGCTCTTTGTTGAAACAAGTATTTCTAGTATTTGATAATGTGAGTGAGATCATAATTTAACCCAACTGGTTCGAACTGAATTTTAACTGTTAGAGAAAGTTCTCATTAGTTATGCCGCACATTACATAAATGGCCATCAATCTCCTTTGCACCCAAGATTTTCGCTTGTGCAGAGACTAATAAGTCCTGCAAAAAGTATAAACTTTTTCTTGCACTGTAGCAGGAGTTTTGATTTTCATTCTTATTTTTAACTAAATAATTTGTCTTGGGTGGTAGTTTTGTGATTTTGTGTCTATAGGAGGGGGTGTTGTTGAGCATGTGAAGGTAGCAGCATTTCCTTGGGGGATTTATCCAGTTTCCTTTTTCTTTGGAATGCACCATGGCTCTTCCTCGTAAAATAGCAACCACTCCTTTTAAGACGATGAAAAGTTGCAATCTTGACAAAACACAAAACAAAATAAAGAAAGCAAGACTGAATCTGAATGAGATTGAAACGCGTAGATTCTGACTGGAAAGGTTGCGTTTAGAGGATCCTCTTCAATCCTTGTCAAAAGCTAGTCAACAAAAGGTGTAAAGCCATTTTGTTATTAATTTCTTGTTTTCTCACTACTACTTGACTCTCAAGGAACAAAATATACCGTCTTTTGTTCTTCCCCTTTCCATGAAGATAGTTAATATTGAAGTTACGTGATCATCACATCTTCTCATTCACTGCAAATTTTATCACCTATTTCCCTTTTTTAATCATTTAAAAAATCAAGAGAAATTTTTCAGGAATTTTAGAAGAGATCTTAAACTTTAAAATTTTGACGGAATTTGATGAAGGCAAAAAGGCTATAAGCAAAGTGTCACATTTAGTCTTTTATACTAAAAAATGTATTTGTGCTCTTGCAGTTGCAGTAGAAGAAAAGTGATTTGTTTTTAAAAAAAAAAAAAAAAAAAAAAATATTATTCTTACGAAATTGTTGTGCATGATTACGCGTATATAAATAATAAATTAGTTTTGAGGGAGAGCCACATTTTCCTACCCAAGGTTTAGCGAAATGACACTTTCTCACCCGTCAAGTTTCAAAGTAGCACTTTCTCACCTTTCGTCAGGTTCTGACGTTCTGTTAGTGTTTTCTGTTAATATTTAATTGAAATGATAAAAATACCCTTAAACAGTTTATTATAAATTAAAATTTAGTTAAATCGAAATCTTTACTCCATTATTTATTAGTAATGTAAAGATATATTTTTTCCTTTGTTTGTTTAATTAATTAGAAATATTGATTTTATATATTAATTAGTAAAAATGAAAATCATTATATTATGAAAAACATTATAAATTTAGTAGATTATTGAATAATAGTAATGAGATATTGATAACGTTATAAATAAATAAATATTAAAGTTATTTAATTTTAAACAATTTTATAGCATTACTTCTAACTTTTTAGATGGGGTTAACTATTTTTTTTTGACTTTTTAATAGTTGACTTTTTGGTTAATTAAAAAATAATAAAATTTTTATAAAGTCAAATATTTATGGTTATTTCCTTCTTTTCAGTAAAATATTAACAAAAAATATAACAAAACTTAACGAAGTGTGAGAAAGTGTCATTTTAAAACTTGAAGGATAGGTAAGTGTAGTTTTGCCAAACCTTGGGTGGGAAAATGCTGTTCTCCCTTAGTTTTGATGCCTTGAAAAACTTAAAGCTATCTGATAAAGGCCAAATGAAATTAATTAACCTTAAAGGAAAGAACGGAACCTAGACAGATGGAGCCGCATAATATATGTACTTTCTTCTGGGAAATTGCCCTACCATGTATATATACACCATTTGTAGCATGGCTGGCATCAAAACTGAATAACAGAATTAAGAAAGGAATCTCTCACTCTTTTTTTCTTCACAATATAGAAACAACCAATGAATTTCTCACCTTACCTATGAAGTTTCTCAAAAGCCAATCATCAGAATTCTTAGTCTAGAGAATTTTCTCTACTTTTTTACTAATATATATACTCCACGAGTGAACCAAAACCTTCCCCTTCTTCCCTCTCTTCTGTTTTCCTTTCAACCGCCAATCATTTTTGCTCTTTAATCATTCTTGATTCTTTCTAAATTCGAGATAGATTCAAAGATACACCCCTTTGAAGATAAGTTTACCAAAGTTAAAAGAAAAGAAAGAAAATGGCACAAACAAGAGTGCTGGAGTGCTGTAACTGTTTCTTGGTTTTGTTTCTTGTCTTTATGCCTATGGTTTTAGGTAGCCCTAGTGTTGGAGTGAACTGGGGAACCATGTCAACGCATCATTTACCACCAGATAAGGTGGTTCAAATGCTGAGAGAAAATGGTTTTAAGAAGTTGAAACTGTTTGAGGCTGATGAGAAAATCTTAGCAGCCCTCATTGGGACAGATATTGAAGTTATGTTAGCCATACCAAATTACATGTTGCAGACGATGAGTCAGGATACTGAGGCTGCTGCTTCTTGGGTATATGCTAATGTAACTAGTTATTCTTATACCGGCGGAGTCAAGATCAAGTTCAGTAACTTAGTTTCTTCATCTTTAACTCTTTTCGTATTGGGTTTATCTTATTTCTTGTTTGTCTAATTTCTTATATGGGTTTGCATTTCTGTGGATGATTCTCTTGTTATTCTTATTTTCCTTTTAATATTTCTTTATTAGTGCAAAGATGGAAGCTATTCTTCCCAAGTTCTGTACTGATTTGCTGTCTTTTTCTATCACCTTTTCCTCTTTACTGAGTGGGATGTTGATTCAGTATTACTATTAAGGAATAATTAGCCTTTCTATTTTAGGTGCCTTTATCCTTACCCCTCCAGTAGATGATTAGATTAGTGGCCTCGTAGGGGTCCATTCTTTGAATTATTGACTGGATTATCCATATACAAAAAAGTCTAGCTGAGTTTTGTGATAGGAACACACCCCGCTTTGAATAGATAACGGAATTATTACTTGGTCTTTTGCTTTTATTTATGTATTTGCAGATTAGTTGAACAAAATTTATACCACTCAATGGAACAGCACCTAAGGGATGATTTCATGAACAAGCTGTTTTACTTTCCTGCAAGTCGTTCTAATTTTTAATATCCTTAGCGTTCGTCACCTATATGAATTGACTTCGTAATTTAGCTTGACAAAATTAATTTTGCAGGTATGTAGCTGTAGGGAACGAGCCTTTCCTTCAAACATATAATGACTCGTATATTCACTCGACACTACCAGCCTTAAAAAACATACAGGAAGCTCTCAATAACGCAGAGCTGGGGTCCAAGATCAAAGCCACTGTCCCTTTCAATGCTGATATCTATTACTCCCCTGAATCAAACCCAGTTCCATCTGCCGGTGACTTTAGGCCTGAAATCCGAGATGTTACAACAGAAATAATTCAATATCTTCATTCAAATGGTGCGCCTTTTACTGTCAATATCTATCCTTTTCTTAGTCTCTATGGCAACGATTACTTCCCTATGGATTTTGCATTCTTTGATGGAAGTAACAAGCCCCTTAGAGATGGGAATTTGGTTTACACCAATGTGTTTGATGCAAATTTTGACACTCTTGTACGATCATTAGAAAAAGCTGGATATCCTACCATGGATATTATAGTTGGAGAAGTTGGGTGGCCTACTGATGGTGATAAAAATGCAAACATAAAAAATGCAAAAAGATTCAACCAGGGATTGCTTGGACATGCTTTGAGTGGATCCGGAACCCCAGCAAGAAAAGGCACCATTGAAATCTATCTGTTCAGCTTGATTGATGAGAATGGTAAGAGTATTGCTCCTGGAAACTTTGAGAGGCATTGGGGAATTTTTGAGTTTGATGGGAAGCCAAAATATGAATTAGATTTATCAGGAATGATGGAGAACAAAGGTTTAGCTCCAGTTGAAGGTGTTGAATACATGGAGAGGAAATGGTGTGTTCTAAACCCAGATGCAGATAACTATGAGGAGTTGCCAGATAGTATAGACTATGCCTGTAGCCTTTCAGATTGTACTGCTTTGAGTTATGGATCTTCCTGCAATCACCTAAGTGCCAGAGGAAATGCTTCGTATGCTTTCAATATGTACTTTCAGATTAATGACCAACATCCTTGGAACTGTGATTTCTCTGGATTGGCCATTATTACAGACAAGGATCCATCTGAAGGTGACTGTGAGTTCCCTGTGATGATAGTTTCTCATTCTGCACTGCTTCTGCAGACAGGAGTTTTAGATACATTGGCAAGAGTAGTTGGGGGATTTATGGTTTTTGCACTTGTTCTATGTTAGATTCTATCTGCATGTAACCACTATTATAAATTACCCCAAAATTGATAGAATTTTATATTCTCCTGTAGAATTTTATCAGAAATTGCTTTGTCTTTTAGTTTTATAAATTTTGGCTTTGTGATTGTGATGGTGAATGCAACCATTTAAAGAATCTCAGTAGAATGTGACTCTGATTTGAAGCATAAAATTGGTTAAAATTCTAAAAGTACGTGGCCCAAATCAAATAGTAATAGTGTTTAATACTCCCCTTAGTCCTAACATCGATATTGGGCTGCAATCTGCAATATCAAGTAAATTGGTTAACCAAATAGTAATAGTATTTCATACTCTCTTCTATATGTGTTATTGTTCTTAAATTCAATCTCAGATGGAGGTACTGTTATTGCATAACTACTCTGATAAACCGGGGAAGACAGTAAATTGAGAAAATTTAATCAATTTAAGGTGATAAAATAAGAAAAGAAATTTGAGGTAACGGAAGTTGATTCAGGATTTTATTTTATTTACATCAGATAATCATTAAATGCATGAGTCAGAAAGGAATTAAATGAATAAATGTTACAAAAATGTATTCATATTAAATTTGAAATATTTAAATGAGTAAACGACTTTTTCCCAACCAAATAATAACTTAATGACACTTTCTCACCCATAGACTTTTAAAATACTATTTTACTATTCAAATTTATATTCCGTTTATGATTCTGACATCGTTGCGACTCTACACCACTACTATTCTCTTCTCCAATCATCACTCACCAAAACCCCTAAAACCCTACTTTCACCGACCTTGCTAATAGCTGGCAATCGAGCGATTAGAGTTTGCATAGTCGTCCCTCCAAGTTAAATTCCGATAAATCCTAACCACCAAAATCCAACATTTCATCACTAAACAACCTAGTTAGTTAATTTGAGAGAAAAATATATAGATTCAGTTTTAAAGATTAGTTCATACCTGGTATCAATTTTCTTGAATGAACCTTTTTCCTTGCTTTGTGTATGCAATTTAAAGTAAATCAAGAAATTGAGATAATGAACTTTTCACAAACTGAAAATATTATTAATTTTTTTTTGAATAAAGTGTACATAAGCTTCTCCTTATATAGAGAAGTTCGGATTTCAAAATGAATTGAATCCGTAAAAGAAAACAAAAGATAAGATAAGCGGTCTTAATCAATCACCAACTAAAGCTGAATGGTCAATTTCGTCAACTACTGATAATGACTCATAAACTAATAAGAAAATAACATCTAAACTAAGGGTCCGCTTGGGATTTTCATGGTAACGGTTATGAGGATAAACCACTGTAGTGGTTTTGAGCGTAAATTATCGTAGCGGTTTTGAAGGGTTTTTAGTAGTGGTTTTTAAAACACCCAACCTATGCTTAGGAGTTTATTTTCTAGCGATTCTAACAGTTTTTTAAAATGATAAATTTACATATATGCCTATAAAAATACCCCAACTCTAGCTAGTACTTTGAAGTTTTTTTTAATCAATTATAAGGTAAGAGTTCTTTATTTGTTTTCTACTTATTAGTATTTTATAATTTCAAATGTGATAAAGTTTTCTTATCATTCTTCGCCAATGATTGAAGAATTGTAACTCTACTTTTCCAAGAAAGTATCTAGAAATGAGATTTTAATAATTTTTTTTTTTTTATGATTGTTTAAAATTGTTTTATATTTAATACGGTTGAAGACTTGCATAATATGATAATTTTTTTTTTTTTGATGTAATTGGGATAGTTCTATAGTGGATAGGATATTTGTGGAATAAAATTTTAAAACCAACCAAAACACCCCGATTTGGAGTGTTTTATAAACCCCTCAAAAATACATTATACTGGTTCTGGGGGGTTTTTGAGCCAGTCAAAACCAGTGCATAAAAAATCTGGCAAGTAATGGTTTAAAAACACCTCAAAACCAGTCTAATTAAAAACCCCTCAAAACCAGGGGAAAAAAAACTCCCAAGCAGACCCTAAAGAAAATAACACTAGGGTCTATATGTCTCACATGTGTCTTACACATTAGGATACAATTATTACAAATGATAACGACACAACATCCAAAGCCTTCTTTTGATCCTGATTGTTGAATTCTGTCGGCAAAATCCTGGATGTCCACGTGTTATCTTCTGCTGTTTGATACACGTCAGCGTGTTATGTGTTGAACATTTTCGGTAGTCCAAATCTCTATCCTCTAGATTTTTATCAATCTTTAAAGTTATCCACTTCTACAAAATCAATAAAATCTTTCAAAGTTTTATCTTCTTGGGCTTCCTGGTCGTGAGCTAAGACCAACCTTAGAAAATCAATAGTACATTCCATTAAAGTCTGCTTTCATAGATGGGCTAAATCAAACCCTTCTAATAACGTTCCTAACTAGGCTTGGTTATGTTTGAAGAGTGTATCTTGGATTGTTGCATACCTGTTTGGTAAAACTACCACTATCCCATTATGGATATGGATAGTAGCATCTGCTTTAACAAGCTCTTCCAGTTTGGATTTAACCAGTAGCAATTTTGTAATATGCAACCTCATCCAATCTTCCGTTTCTTTTCTTTGAATTTCTTCTAGTGCATAAGATCTCATTTTTACCTCGTTATCTAACATAACTCGGTAACATGGTTCTCCTGCAAGAAATTCTCATATATGTACAAGTTGAATATTATAGTTCTCTTGTAATGAGGAAGTAATCATGCAAGTGAAAGTGTCGACCTTCCTATTCAATACACAGGGCGTCTGTTTAACCGTGTCTAGCATATTTGGGTCCACCATCGCTTTCTGTACATCAATTTCCATTGTATCGATCCATCCTTTATTCTAAAGGTTTCTGTAATAACCTTTTCTAAAGGTTTTCAATGGAACAAACAATTCCATAGTTCCATTAGGATAAATTACTAATCCTTGGACTAAATCCACCAAGTCAGTTTTTCTTAACTTCACTATTAAATCATTCAAATTTTCGAGTTTGAGATTTATGATATCAAACATATGACATTTTCTCATTACCTCAATTTTTTTGAATTACTGCATCATAAAGCAGAGCAGTTCCTCTGAACTCCTCGTCTTCATAAAACAGTTTATCAGTTTCCAGCCAAGCTAGCCTTCTCGCTAATTTCTCTAAACACCTTTGCAGCTGTACTTCACCTTGTCCTGTCACCAATGCAATCCTAATTTGAGTTTCAAGATCCTCCCAGAGTGTTTGACTAGCTGGAGTTAATCTTAAGTCTTCTGGAAAACTAAACCTCTCACAAATATCTATGTCAATTAACCACTTTTGTGGAGTGTGTGGAGTCACCATGCTTGCAGCGCCTGACAATGAAGCCTCATAATTGTTTGTCTTTGGTAGTGGACAATTAGCCCTTTCATGTCCTTCCTGTTTACAAGACCAGCAAGCCATTGCTTTCTTCTGAGTCTTTTGCTTTTCCTTCTTGGGAGTAATCTCTTTTTCAGATGTAATTTCCTTCGTAGAAGTACCTTTCAAGCATTGAAACTTTGGGTTTCTTCTTTCCAAAGTATCAGAGTCATAGTCTCGACTCTTTCCTTCTTTAATCTGCTTTATTGCAGTAACCTGCTTAGGAGTAGAAATAACCTGCTTATCTGCACTACCCTCTTTTTTCCAATTACCCTTAGAGCTAAAGTTATCTTTAAGGGACAATTCCTTCTCAAGTGTCCTCGTTGTTTACACTTGGAACATGAGAAGTGATTTCCAGTTTCCTTTTTGTCTGCCATTATCCTACAATTCCTCAGAGAAATGTCTGGATAGAAAGTCAGCAACAAAGTTAGATTTACCAGAAATATACTCAAATTTGATTCTATAATTTGCAAACCAAATTTGCCATCTGATTAGTCTAGCTTTGCCATCCTTTAAAAACAGTTTTATAAAAGTTTTTAAATATTTAGAGTCTATCTTTAAAGTAAATTCTTGACTGATTACGAACAATCAAAATTGGTCAATATATTCTTTCGCTGCTAAAACTTTCTTTTCATGAACATGATAGTTTATCTCAGCAAGAGAGAATTTTCCTGACGCATATCGAACAATCCGTTCAATATTATCAGTACCTTTAGCCTTAAGCACACCCCCCAATACAAATGAGATGCATCTCTTTCTATAATAAGCGCATCATTATCTTCCAGGAGTTTTAAAGCTTTTAATTGCTTTGTCAATGTTTTGGTCCGCTTAACACAGTTAGTATCTTCAAGTGTCCAAACCCAGGGCACTTTATCACTAACTTTAAGTGTCAAGCCATTGATTACATTAGTGAGATTAAGAACATACTCGCACATGTAATTGGCTAATCCAAGAAATTGTTGGAACGTGTGCTTATCTTCTTGCACATCTGGGAACTCCAACAACTTCTTCGAGATATGTTCTTGGAGTTGAATACCTCCTTCACCTATCTCAACGCCTAAGAACATCACCTTGTTCTTAAACCATTCTACCTTTTTTTCAGATGGAATCATCCATTATCAAGTTTCGAAAGTGAGAAACAGTTTTAGACCGGTGAAACTAAGGCAAGAAGACCTCCAAGGATAATATGGTCGTTATCTTGAGTAAATGGCCTAACTTCTGATTGCCCCCGCAGAAAGCTATTCCCAAGAATAAAATCTACTTCTAGGTAATCCACTATCAGGACTTCTCTTAAAGTAAATAGTTTCTCGTTTAATAGTACAACCCATGTTTTCAACTACATCCGTGATCATACTTTGTCCTCCATCCGCAACTGTATTTAGGATTGGTTTTTCCAACGGTTTCCAAAACTCTCATGGAAAACATTGTTTCCTTGCAATACATTTGGTTGCTCCTGTGTCTACAAAAACATCCAGAGTATATTCCTCATATTCTGGAAAACACAGTTTAGCACGAATATAAGTGTCAATAGTTCCTTGAACTATCGCATGACAATGCATTTCATGACTCATCATCGTTTTCGTGCTTGAGGTTTCATCTTCATATACTGGAATTTGAACATATTTATATTCGACTATTTTCCTACTACTACTGCTCCCAACTTCACTAGCAGTGTCATCTGTTTCAAGTATATTTTTCTTTGACATTATAGGTTGAATCTCTTTATT